GGTTTTCAAAAATAGTTTAAAATTCGTATTAAATGTACTAAGTACATTCTTCTTCTTTACATATTTGCTCATTCATTGAAGATGCCTGCTATGTTATACCCTTACCTCCAGCTAGGGTATAACAGAGCAGTCTGTGGATGCCGCTTTTTCTGTCGCTTTCGCGTGCGCCCACCAAGATGGGCCTTTGGGTCCCTGCTTAGTATGACATACTGGCACACTTTTCTTACCTCCAGCCCTCCCTTGCTCGCTCACAGTTCTTGGTATTGGTGTCTTTCGTGTATGACCGGGAAAGCCCTTTGCTATGCCCCCCAGGTCATATTGAGCCGATTTACTATTGAAAATAAAATTTTATTAGAATTTTCCTCACTTTTTTGTCTCCAACGCTCTCTGGGGGGGTTTCCCTTCATTGACTCTTCTTCGGCATTCCTCGTTTGTGTCTCCGCCTCGGACGTTTTTAAATGTGCAACGCTCTGATGACTTTTGAATTTGATGTGCATAACTTTTTACGACACCAACCACTCAGTTCTGCTGCGATGCGATACATACGATGGCCCTCTTCCATGTACATGGAATGTGATTTAACAAAAAAAATTGATAGTATTGGCCGGCTGCAGCAGCTGTTGCTGCCTCTGCTGCTGCTTCTGTTGCTGCTAGTTTGAATAAAATTTTATTGCTTATTGGTTTTGAGAATTGCGTATGGCACGGCGGGGCAAATGGCCGGCGAACTCAAAGCGGCAAATCATAATGACTCATAAATTTATAAGTGAAATATATGAAACTTTGATTTCAGCCAGTGCCGGGGCACCCCAGGCCCACATGGATGAGGATTTTATTTATTATGTTTTGTCTTTCGACACTTTCGCGGGCATTTACATGAGGCGGCACTCGAGTCGCGACCGAACCGGGCCCCGCCTATGTTTGCCGGTTGGGCCCCAAATAATCGGCGCTACGTGCACCCCATTCTAAGCAAACAGGCATAGAGTTCTGGGGAAGCCCAGAATCCCCTGAGTATCACTGAGGCATTGCGTGCATATGGATCGGCGAAAGGGGCAGAAGAAGTCGCTCTGGCATTGGCCACGCGGTCGCTGCACGTGCTGGCGGCGTTCCGTCTGTGAACTGCATAAACGTTGCCTCATTATGTCAGGAAGCCCATTTCGAAATGCCTCAGCTGGCCAGCCTCAGAGGCGGATGCGGACGCGGACGCGGACGCGGGAGATGCTCCCTGCCCAGCAATGTGTCGAAAAGCAAAGTCTTCTTTGGGGATTGTTCAATTTGTGTTACTTTTGTCTTGGGCCAAATGATATCATTAAGTGTTCCGGGCAGATTGTTGAATCAGATGTTTAGCATACGTAGTCGGTAAATTGAGTATGATGGAATTATAAGTACATACATACTGTATGTATGTATGCATTTATCTGAAAGTATTATAAATGGAAAGATTCATTCGTTCAGTTGGAATAATCGAGTAATTATTTTTGGTATTTTGATACGTGACGCAATGGCACATAGACATGGCATATGCCAGGGATAGTTATGCTTATGCATTCGTTTTTTGATATTCTATTTATAAAGCATCTATTTAGTATTAACACATTTGCAGCTTTTAATGAGCATAAAATCCCGCTATACAAGCAACTAGAGAAACTTTTTACACATCTATTTCAAGCGGGTACTAAACATTTTACAGTGAAAGAAATCAGGATAAAAATTTGCCATTGATAGAAGCTAGGGAAGTGAGGAAGATTATTTATTCTTGTAATATCCCAAAGGGTGTCCTGCACTAAGTACCAAGTATCTCAATAGTCGTATTATAATATGTCCACATATAGAAACTTAAGCAAAGGGCAAAGCTATCATTTCGATAAGTGTGAGTCACAATCAGTTAACCATTCAAACTGCTCACTGCCTTTTTTGCAGTGCAGTGATCTGTCATTTAATTCAGATCTTCAGGGAGCTTCCTTGCCATGTGGTGGGAACCGCCGTTTATGATGTGTCAGCAGGCATGCCTGGAAGATCATCAAAATGTGGCCAGTGAACTGTCAGCTGTGTCTAATAAAGTGATGAACACACTTTTCGTTGTTGAATGATCACAATTGATACTAATTTGCATTCCGAACCATAAACCGAAAACTGGCGGCGTGAAAGTGTTGAGTCTTGAATGGGAAATTTGTGTATCTTGTGGGTTCTTCTAGAGCCATTCTTGATAAATATTAATTGTCGGCCCCTGGTCCAGTGACAATTTGAGGTCAGCGGCATAGTTTCTAAATGTACATGATCTCGTATCTGTATCCGTATCTACATCTGTTTTTGTTTCTGTGGGGAACTGGGAGCTGGCGCCCATTAATTGTGTTAGATTATGCACACATGACAAGGGGAGAGGTCGAATTGGACAACAGCAGACTGGCAGACAGACAGACAGACAGACAGGGAGGCAGAAGTTTGCTGAGAACTTGAATGGGTTTATCAGTTGCCCTTGGTGGACGCGGGCAAGTAGAAAACGAGTTGAGGCTGGGATTACAATGATTTATTGGTTGGGCCCAATTTGAAGCTTGCAACACAAATAACTTGACAAAAAGTGTATTTATGGGTAATTTTCGGCATTGATCTCTGACATTCCAGCTGCCACAGAGCCGCTGACAAAAACAAACTAAAAGCTGTCTTCGGTTCTAGGTGTGTCTCCGCTGCCCTATCTAGCGAAGATCTAGCGATCCGGCTCTCCTAATTCTCGTTAATCTCGGCCGCCGATCTGCCCCGCTGCAGATCCCATGAATGACGCATAGGTCCGCCCGCTCGACTCGCCAATTTTTGTGAGCGAAAGCCGACCACAAAGTTGTGTGGCTTCCAGATGGGCGGGCACATGCTGCCGCTTGGGTGTGTGTGTGTGTGGACAAGGGCTTCGTGGCTTGCGCCGTGTTCCCGTAATTGCAATATACAGTCGTCCGTGGGGTACCTGAGGGATGCTTGCACATAATTTGCCCGTCGCGTCAAGTGCGACTCGTGTTACCAATAATTGCGGCCGACTGAGAACGTGTCGGTGTCTGCGGTGGGCTTACTGTGCCGCACAAGTGTCCGCTTGCGTGAACTCCCACTCGTAGTTATTTATTGCCAAATATAAATATATTCGTTACATATTTAAGCGGGAGTTAATCCTTTCTCTGTTGTTTCTTGCAGTGTTGTGGCTTTGGTCAAGATGCGTCCGCCACTGTTGATTCTGGGTCTGGTCTGGACGCTTTTAGTTCCTGCCCGGGGCTCCTTTGATCTAATAGGACAGTCCATTAAAGGTAAATATTAAATATTAGCGCAGAGCAGTAACAATTCTACATGATGTCTACATGATATCTGCACAAATATTCAACCTAAAGTATGCAATGCTTTGCTTTACTTTTGTTTATACATGTAATATAGCTGTAGATGTGTGTAGCATTGATGTAGATATGATGTCGACTTATTTTTTAAATTAATTAATTAATATTAGGGCAATATTTAACCATGAAATTAATTCAATGAACATAAGAAAAATAAGTTAAAATTTAAAAAATTAATTTAAATTTTTGTGTTTTATTTTTCTCACTAATTGGAAAACTAGAAAGTTAAGGGAACGAGCAAATATAAGGAAATGTATATAATATAATATATAATATATAAGTTGCTGGCCATACCCAAACAATATCTAATTTATGCACATGTAAATAATTAAGGTGTCGTTTTTTATCCACCATCCCCACATTCACCCTTGCAGATGCCCTTGCCGAGTACACGCTGACGGACATCATGAATAACAATCAATTTGCGGGCATCGAGTTCGGTGAGGCGGAGGATGGGTTTCCTGCCTTTCGGTTTCTGCAGACGGCAGACGTAAAGTCGCCGTACCGCATGCTGCTGCCGGAGAAGCTGTACGAATTCGCCATTCTAATCACTTACCGCCAGAGCTCACTGAAGGGTGGCTACCTGTTCAGCGTGGTGAACCCGCTGGACACCGTTGTCCAGCTGGGGGTTCACCTCTCGCCGGTGGTGAAAAACAGCTACAATGTGTCGCTCGTCTACACTCAGGCCGACCAGAGCATAGGCCGCAAGTTGGCCAGCTTCAGTGTGGCTCATGTGGCGGAAAAGTGGAACTCGATTGCACTCCAGGTGCTCAGCGACCGGGTTTCCTTCTACTACGACTGCGAGCTGCGCAACACCACGCTGGTGACCCGGGAGCCCATTGAATTGGTCTTCGACTCGGCCTCCACGCTCTACATTGGCCAGGCGGGCTCCATAATTGGTGGAAAGTTCGAGGTAAGTCTGTCGGCGGCCAATTTCGTTAGCGTTTTGAGTTTTAATCAGATTTCAGTGGAATAATTTTCGAAATGCTAGAGCGCACACATCTGTTTAGTTTCCTAAGAGGGGGGTTTATGGGCACATTAATTGAAATGGAATCTATTTCCGTGAGGGAATGGGGCATGTGATCCGTGGCTATACCTGTTTTGAAATCCTCCAAGTGCAGCAATTGTAACGGCCTCAAGTGGCATTTCATGCCGCAAGAGCTGCGAGCTTTTCACCACTCGCCACACCCGCCACTCGGGAGTTCTGAGTGACTCCAGCCACCCCTAAGTGGCGCCATTTGAACAGCTGGCGGCCAAAGTTGCCAGCCACTCGACGCAACGCAAAGCGACACATTACGTATACCCCACGGTGGCCCGAGTCTCACTCAAGGCACACTCAAGGCTCGTTGGCTCTCTCTCTCTCTCTCTCTGGCTCTCCCGTAGCATTCAGCGGTGGTTGGTAATTCAGCAGCCGAATGCCGAGGTTCACGAGGGCGGCACGGCACGAGGTCGTTTGTGTTGTCTGTGGCACGAACAGATTGCTGTGATTTGATGGGCCTCCTTGGGCTGCGGGTGCGTTTACCTTTCAGTTGCGTTCGCGTTTCCATACCGTTCAGATGGGCAGGCGGCAGCGTCTAAGATGCATTTTTTGTTGCTGAAGCCGGACTCTGCTGTAAACCCGTGCGGTCGGTGCTCGTCCTCGTCCTTACTGTCGTCTCCGTTGCTGTCGGTGCCATCGTCGTCGTCGTCGTCGTCATTGCCGGACGTCGTGAGTGCGGTGGCAGCTGGTGCTCCTTCTCATGCTCCTAATCCGGCTCCAACAACTGCACATGAAGCCCTGAGCAGGCCTAGCCGCAAAAAGGAAAGTGATTTATATGCCTAAATGAAAAATATGCCTCCTGAGTGAGCCGGAACCTCGAGAATCGAGTCAATTAAAGTTCAATTATGCGACCAAAACTGAAGGACAGGCCGCGCAAGCGTTTGAAAATTCGACCGTTGAACTTGCACTGACTGACCGACCACGGACCAATCGACCAACTGCCACACAAGTGTGTTCTCCAGCATAATCCCGGCAATCGATCATATCACAGCTAGCATATCGGTGCGGTTCCCGTGCAGGACTTATCAACTCTAGGGGCTAAACCAGACACATACATATATACTATGTCGTAGGGCCAGTGATAAGTAACAAAGCCAATACAAATATTTGCAATTAGTGTGGCATGTGCGCGGAGCTCACATTGTTGCAATTGTTATACTCTGTTGTACGTTTCTTGTTGTCCGTCGCTGTCGCCGTCGCCGCGTCGTTTTCGTCGCTCAAGTTGCGGCTGCCGCTTGTAAAAGTTTCGTTGCACAGTTTTGGGGCACCGTGAGCGACGTGAAGCCGGAGCAAGTCATCAAGAATTTAACTCTGCCCCAAAGCAAACCAGTGTTCAAACTCCTCCGCGGCCTGGCCACCCCGACTCCAGACACTGTGGCTCTGGCTGTGGCCTGTGTGACGCTTGGTCGAATGGAAATCAATCAATTGCACAATGGCAAGCTAAAGTGCATGTAGTGTGAAAAAGTTGAATTAATTGCACACAGCAGGACATCAAAGTTAAGAAATAGCCTGAACAACAGTGTAAACAACAAAAAAAAAACAGAAACAAAAACCAAAAAAAAAAAAACAGAAAACAGAAAAACAAAACTCTCTGAAGAGAAGAAAAACCCGAGAGTAAATAACATGTGCTGTCATTTGTAATTACAAACGAGCATCGCAGAAAAAAAAACGTAAAACCATACATACATACATAATACACAATTACAATAAATTTTAAAATAAAACTCATACCTTAACGCGCGTGCATAAATAAAGCAAAGTATTTGCAATTAAATTATCTGTGATTTTTGTCAACATATTCAATACAATATCCCATACGCGCCCCATACGCGTCCCATACGTGTGCATATCCCGGTAATTTATAGTGAAGTCCTCCCAATGCGTTCGGCTTAAAGGTAAATATGGATTCCAGCCGGAATAAGGGCCACAATATGCGCCACTCACTCGCACACAAATGGTTTGGAATGTCGCCCATCAAATTGAACAGGGTTCGCGCATAAATTATGACAAGCGAGGTCCGGGCCAGGCCTGAACTGAACAGACCAGAAGAGGCCAGAGCAGGCTAGGGCAGGCCAGAAAAGCAGTGAGGCAGTGAGGCAGTGAGGCAGTCAGGCAGTCAGAGCGGAGTGGCATAAAGCCTCATGGATTGGCTGTGTGCCTTCTCGTTGGCGCGCCTAAATCAATGGCAAACTCATTAAAGCGCCAACGAGAACTGTTTTTGGCCCCCGACGCGTCTCTAACCACAGACATAGCCGTACTCCCCGGCACCCGGCCCGCTGCTTCGTGCATATGCATATTAAAGCAGCACTGGGCGTATACGTAACATATATCCGTCTATTTATTATGGTGGGTGGCAAGGCGCCCGCCTTTTGTCTTTGCCCACTGCCAGCTCCGCACATGGCCAAAAGGCAAGGGAAAATACGTTTTATTTATTAAATAAAAACGCTGCCAAGAAGGCGTTCTCGGCCCACTCTGGCTTTCATTTTAATGGGCGTCCTTGAAGCGGCATCGGGTTGATCAAACAAAAGATAAAGTTGGGCAGAAGCGAGAGTTAACCCTTCCAAGCCTAGACTTGCAAGTACACCAAACTCGAATGGGACCTGGGGTCCTGCCAGCTTCCGCTTGAAGTTGCTCCAGCAATTCACTTGCACTTAATCGTGCCACAGGACACAAATTATGAGATAACAAACTGCCGTCCAGCGTACATATGTACATATTTACATACCTAAATGCGAATGTGAATGTGAATGTCTTGCCATGTTTTCACTTTTGACCAAATTACGAGCGAGCATCATAAATATTCATGTGTGTGCATTGTTAATATGCATTTAAATATCACAGTCTGATTGTTTTGCTATTGTTTGCCACACTGCCTGCCACACTGCCTTCCACAAGGCTTCGCCACCTCTCCCTGAGAGACAGCAGGTACGAGCATGGACTTCGCTGTCCTGTTTGTAATTTTAATTGTGAATTTATCAATTTACCATCATAATGCAATATTAGGACCATTATGCCGACACAATTTCAAATTCAATTTGAAATGTGTATTCACATATTTGGTTTGGTCAGCCTGACAACCCGAATCTCCTCCTTCTCTCCTGGATCCCTTTCAATCGGCGTCATTGTGTGCCGCGATTGTGTTCGAAATTAGTTTTTGACTAAAGCTCCAGCCCAAAAGAGTTTCCCCCCAGAATATCCATTTACAGTACGGCACAATTGGGGGCTCAAATGGAAATGGAAATATGACCTATGGATGAAAACAAAGCGATTGTTTTCCAAATTATTAATATTTAATTCACGTCACATTGGTTGTTGAATCATTTAAGAGCAGCGCCAGTCAGGTGATAGCCCATTGATTAGCTCTTTGTTAAACTTGGATAGTATATTCCTATACGAACCATATTCCACGGGAATATGCGCTCAATACGATAAATAATTTCAGCTAATATTTATTTTTTATCTTTGTTGTCATAGTTGGGAAAGTGGCTGAAAATGTACTTGTCAAGTAGATAAATATTTCGCTCTTAGTTAGTCTCGGCATCACGTACAGTGTGTCACGTAATGCACATGTTATAGCATGTACAATAGATATGTATGAGGTCGATTTTAGCAACTATAATATCCTTACAGACACGTCATCTCAGATTATTTTAAAATTATGCGATGTTCATAGGACAGAAACGTTTTGTGGTTTCGAAGCTTGCACATAATTTATTTTGATTTGCGTTTCTCTTGTCCATAGCAATACATGACAACAAATGTAATATCTCAGCAGATATTTTTGCCTTATTCGAATCAATTATTTGCCGATGAACTCGACTATATGGTACATTAACTGTGGAATTCTCATTAGTTGTATTTATTTCTGCTTGAAGAACGGCCATGAAAATTTGTGCCCAACACAAATGTACGCACGCATGCACATAGGTATAGGTATACTCGTACTGTGTACCTTCCCTTTTGTATTTATGCCCATAAATGGATTTTTTATTACGCCTAGAGCTGCAGGTCGTTAAAGTCATACATATTCGGGTGCCTATTTTATGAACCTGGAGGGGCTACGGATACCAGGGGACCACATAAAACCCATAAGAAAATGCCAACTGAACAGAAATTTCTTTGATGAGTACAAAAGTTGTGGAAGGAAAAACTATGATTATTTTGTAATTTTATGACCACCCCCAGGCGGCAATCCATCCGAACCAATGGGGCGGTACCAATAAACATAAATTATGTAAATTTTTGGCTTTAATTATACAACCCGATAGCACCGCCTCCTTATGCAGGAGTCCTGTTGCCATACATGTATGTGGGACTGCCGCATGGCCAGGGAAGCACACCGATTATTCGGATAGTTATTAATTAAGCCAGAGACTTCATGGGCGCGTTTTAATCATTGGGAACACGCGTCACCGTTCCCATCAGCAGGAGCAGTTCTACAACCACCATATACCATATACCGTACATAGATGGTGCCATGGTGCCATAGACTGGACTGGGATGAGCCTGGGACTGGGACTGGGACTGGGAGGAGGAGGAGCTGTCAGGCAGTTGCTGCTTATCGATCAAACGCTCACAAAAGTCACAGGGCCTGAGGTTAGACAGAAGACATTTCTTCCGGGGACATTTCAGCCCGGGCTCCGACTTCGTATTAAGGATACATATGTGACATATGTATGCCAGAAACAGCACACCGCCCCACCAACCGCAACCTTGCCACAGATAGCGCTAGCTGCAGACAAAGACTCACAGAGAAAGGGAAATTTGTGCGGAAAACGGTGCTTATTAAAAATTACATGTCAAACGGAAGCGTACCAAAGGAAACCCACACACACACAGAGCAACCAGAACGGAACCCACATGAGATGAGTTGACATAAAACATTCTGCATGGGTTTTGGGTTTTACATTTCAGGCACAGCGGACAGGGGACAGAGGGGACAGGGCACAGGTGTGGGGCGCATAACCCTTTTAAAACATTTTGCCCATTATCTTCATTAGGCGCTAATGTCCGAAAAGGTTTGGGCCCAACTATTCTCTGCTTTTTTTTTTCTCTGGTCGCATTTAACTTTTCGGCTACCTACCCATGACAACTTCAAAAGTCGTTACTCATTTTTGTGTACTTAATTTGGAGGAGATAACAAATTTTCTTATCGCACTCAGCCGGCCCTGGCGCCATTTTTTTTTGCCCCTTTTCATTAAGAACAAGGAGAGGAATAAGAAGAAGGTAATTTCATTAGAAAACTTGAACCGTGTCAAACTTTAAGCTTAAACAGCGTCTGTGTGCCGCAGTCTCAGTGCCTGCCTCAGTCTCAGACGCGGCACTCGGCTCAGCAGCCTGCAGTCGCAGAATTTTAATGCTGCGTGAAGAATGCCACGAGGTGGCAGGAGTAGGAGTAGGAGGAGGCGGAGGCGGAGTATAAGGAGGCTTAGAGCTGGAAATGGAAGCAGGGCCAAGAGCAAGAGCGGCCCGCAGCCGCTTGACTTGGCATAAAAAAAGTTTCCTTTGGCTTCCACTTTTGGGCGCGTACAAAAAGTTTGTGCTACACCGCCGACTCGTTGACTCAATAACTGGTTGCCGCCCCCGCCCCAGAAAGAAAGCCTTAGCCGGGGCCGTGGCCGGGGGCCGGGGCCTGGGCGTGCCCCGACCGGGTGTTAAAGACTCAAGGTGGGGGCCCATGGACGCTGCTGGTACTGGCACTCATAGCGTAGCTTCTAGACTGACACGATTATCGTAATTATGCGCTGGCAGTAGCATACTTTTCTGAGCCACGTAATGCGTTGTGTTGCTGGGTGAACGAGAGTGCGAATGCTCGGGGTGTTGTCCCTGGGAATGTTTTCTGTACGAGGATGTAAAGCCAACTTTCGCCGCAATTATGTAGCTTGAAAAGTTGCAGCTCGGTTTTTATTTAGCTTTTACTTTTCCACTTTTTTTTTTCGGGGCACTGCCGCCTCAAGGACACGCCCACATAACCCTCTGGCAAACACTCGGCTTATGCCCGAGACGCAGCCTTAGCCTTATTGCGGTTCCCCCGCCCAAAAAAAAAAATATGGGCCAAGACGTCTCGAGAGCATGTGACCAATTTGTACGGCTGCTCGTTCCTCCTGAGTCGCGTTCGTTGTTGCTTGCCTTTGACGTTGCTATAATTCAATATTTTTCCCAAATAAACTTGTTGGCAGCTTAACTTTTCATAAAGTTTGCCTCTCCCCACACCCCTCAGCTGTTGCGTGCCACGGTTCGGGGTATATCGAACCAACACACTCACTCTTCCTCAAAGATCGACTGGGAGCTAGCGCTCCCACAGGAAACGCTGCTTTGCAGGGTGTCAGGCAGCCCATGTGACAGTTGGCTTTTGCCGCATTCGGTTATGTTTTTCAGCCGCCGCTGCCACCCGCTGCCACCCGCTGCGCCGCAAATCAGTGAGAAAATGCTGACAAGCGTCGGGGAAAAATAAGAAGCAGAATTAAATAAAACGTATTACATTTGTAGCGTTTACAGGAAGTGAGCGAGTGTGAGGGGTCGAAGTCCCCCTTCGAGTGCCTGTTAAGAGGGGGACGTGCTGTAGGCTTCCTTTGTGTGCAAACGTGTGCGTGTGCGTGTGTGTGTGCTTGTGGCATGTGGCATGTGTACAAAAACGCTTTGTGGCAAGGCAAGCACCTTCCTTCTAGTGGGTGGGTGGGAGGCTGGCGAGCTTAATACTTGCCACAAAAACCATTAGGCATCGGTGGCAACAACATCGGTATCGAAGCCAGCATCAGAGCTATCGTAAGAGCTATGCCCGAGCCAAAGTCCAGTTCAGGCCAAGTGACCGGGTCAAATACATTCGTCGACAAACCAATACCAAACCAAACCAAACCAAACCATTTGTGTGGCAGTTGTGGCAATTGTGGCAGCAGCAGCCCGATTCGCCCACACCGCCAACTAATTAATATTCCAATTTATGCATTTTCTTTCAGGCAATTCGATTCGATTCGATTCGATTCGTCGCTATTCCGTTCGGTTCTTCGTTCTTCTCGTTTATTCGCGCCGCTTGCGTAGTTGTGAGCCAAGTGCTTCGCGGGTCCGAAAAATAGTGAGTGGCGACGTGTAAATATCGTACAAAATGGCAATGGTCATATCGACGCGTGCGAAACTCGTGATTACCGCGCTGATTCTGTTCTTCCTGCTCGGCATCGTGCTCGTCACGGGCTCCACGAAGGGATGGTTTAATCCCAACCGCTACAACGGCGAGCGGGTGGCAGCTAGGATACAGGTAACTGAGTTGAACCCCTTCCTGTTGGCCCCCCAAAACGGGCAACCGGTTTGAGTTGTGCTTTAACTAATGGCATTTCAACTAATTAAAAAGAACTGCCCAATTAATTATAGTTATAATCAACACGTGTCCGTCGGCTCTGTCTCCGCTCTGACCACTTTACGGGTCTAAACACTGCGCACTGTGTTGTGTAGTGTGTGGTAATGCTAAATGCTCAACATCCTGTCCCTTCAAATGCAAACAAATGTCACCGCTCTGAGGTCTTGGACGGGGGATTGCTCTGCTGTTTCTGCTGGCACTGGAGCAGTTAGACGGGACTGGAACTGCGACTGGAACTGCGACGGGGGCTGGGGATGGGTGTCTCGCGGCTTATGCGCGTCCAACACGCACATTGCAAGCAAACCCACAACCAGAGAACCCACAACAAGTTGTGGAAACAACTTTTGAGCACAGTCCCACCCACACAGTCCACACAGTCCACACCTTCCCAAAGCAGCCACGCAGTCAGTGCGAGCGAAGAGCAAATAAAGCATAGTCCTACACTATGCGGAAACAAATAAAGTTTATTGTGACAAATGTTTCATGACAGCAGACCATTTGGCCCTGGCCGAGCACACCTGTCGCCGCCGCGTGCGAATCCGACTGCTGCGCACAAATGAAACCCATTGCAATTATTAGGGCACATTATAAGCATTTTGTAGCCGCCGCCAGCACACAAGATAAATTGATAAGTCTGACACGGGTCCGAACGCCCTTGAACACACTTTTCTGTGCGACGAGCGCGGGTCAAGTTTGCGGCGATGCGGCACACACGACGTATACGTATTGCTTCCTGTCAGGATATTGCGGATTCCGCTCTACGACGCTGTTTTGATGGACGTTATGCATACATATATGATTGTATTGTTTTATCCTGTAAATGGTTTGATTATATATTAAATGGATAAATTCGTTTCCCGAATTTCCCGCGCCTTACGCACTCAAAATATAACTCAAGTATTCAAATTCAGCAATCAAAGTTGAATGAAAGATGAAGAGGCACTCAAAAGAATTTGAATTATTTTTGCAGTGGGTAAAATGCTGCGAAATATTAGCATGGCTCTGCTCTTGTATTGCCTCACAGATCTGCCCCTGAATGAATCTTTACACTGACCCCTATGACTACAATTAGATCTAATGATTGCATTCTCTTCTTAGTTATGGATAAGTTTTCCTTGATTACAACATTGTTGCCCCTACATTACACTCACCATTGGCGGGCAGGTCTGCCCTAAAGGCCACCCCCACTGAGTCGCAGCCCTCCATTTAGAGTAAACTTCGACTAATACCTGCATAATTGTTGTGCTAATTATGTCAGCACGCCCTATTAATGGTTCTATTGACACCCGCCGCTAGGGGCGGGCGTCGCGTCTGGATGTGGCCTTCCCTTCCCTTCCATATATGTATGTATTTATACCTGCACTGCTTTGACATTATTTACGCTTACTTATGGGTTTGGCTGGCTTCACCTGACGCGGCAGTGCCTCCCAGTGCCCCCGTGTCCCCATTTCTGGACTCTGAAAACAGTGATTAAACTAATTTTATGCAGCAGCGAAGGCGAACGGAGAACATAGAACGGAGAACGGAGAACGGCAAACCGCACAACAGGACGAGGGCGAGGCAATAAAAAACCATTTAAAACATTCAAAGTGTCGCATGCGAAGGAGCGGAGTGAATGTCGACAGCCGTTAACGGACTGACTTCGATATGGAAACATAGTCGTGGGTTCTACTGCCTCTACTACTCGTATTTCCCCCCATTTATTTCCATCTTTCCCGCTTGCCTGCTGCCAAATGTGTGTGTGTGTGTGTGTGTGTGTGTTGCAAAAGAGAAAAGCGCAAAGGGAAGGAGGACAAGCAACACCAGGAACAGAAACAGAAACCAAAGAAACAAAGTTTAGCAATAAAAATCTAAATAAGTGTGTGGGGGAGGGGAGCAGAGTACTGCCAGGTGGGATGGATGGTGGGATGGATGGGGGCAAGGCTGTTAATAAAGTCATTTCTGCATGCTGCCTTCCCCGTGTCCGCTGTCTCCGTTGGCACGCCAACAGGCGTCGGCGATGGCGATGGGTTCATTAGCAGTGGCTTCCATTACCAAGGCCCGTTGTGACTGGGTGGCTGTTGTTGTCGCTGTTTTCCTACTCTCTTCTGCTGTCGTTAATTACGACATGAAACTGAACGCAGCGCCGGTGCCTGGGAAGGTCGGGAAATGGGAAAACCAAGGAGAGAACAGCAGCAGCAGCAGCAAACTGGCAGGCAGCTGCCTCACAATTGGAAATTTATAAAAATTACAGGTGGATTGACAGGCAATTTGTCGATGTTTAATACGATGTGGTTATCCGGTGCCGTTGCGCTGTCAGTGGCAGTCGCCTCCTGTTGGCAGTTTGCTTATTGACTGATTCCCTCTAACTCCTGCGGCTTAGACGTGTGGTTACCAAGCCCAAGAGCAGGGTCTATTAGGTTTCATTAGGGCCTAATTACCCAAAAGCGAAATTAGTCGAAGCCAATTATAGCTAATGCATTTGGCGTGTGGCCGGCAAGCCCCCCGATCAACTCGTTGAGCGTCTTTTGAACATTTATGACCTGCCCGGCATTGTGTTAGTTGTCGTCGATTCTTGTTTGTTGGCCGGTTAATTCAGCCTAATGAGGTTCACCTTCGCGACAGATAAAGAGACAGACAGGCTGTGGCAAGAATATACTTACCATCGAAGTCAGGAGTAAATTATTATTCATAATAATACGCTCATATAATAAGCTTGTAGGGGTCGTAAAGATTATATTCATGCACACACACATGTAGATGGAATTTCTCCCCTAAGTGTAGCTTACAACTGCAAGCCATAGACATTTCAGCAGAATTGTAACAAAGTAGCCAAACATTACCATTAACTTGCGCTCACTCGCCCTCTCGATTGAGCAATAAAGAACTACAGGAAGCGCATTCCTTTAGATTTTTGCCCAGACATTTCTAGTCATACCGGCATATACATATACGTGTAAGCAAGCAGTTGAATTTTCCCGCTGCACCGGGGGCTGGCAATAAATAATGAAAATATCCGAATGCCAGAGAAGCAGCAGCAGTAGCAGCAGGGCAGGAGAGTGGAGCTGGGAACTGGGAACGGCGAACTGGGAGCTAAGAACGAGAGTAACGAGTTAACCCAGAAACAAAGTGCAGCGTGGAAATAAGTGAAGAATGTGGAATGGTTTTGGAGCCGCGCAGGAGCTACCCTGCAAGCAGCACAAGCAAATTTATAAATATTTTCACCATATATAATACGATTAATAGTTAATAAACTGTAGGTTAATGCCATACCACGATTACTCAGTGCAGAGCGAACGAAATGTTTTCCCATATTCATGAGTGTCGTGCTCCGGAGAAAATTCCAAATATAATCTCACATAGCTGATGGGTACAAATTCCGCCTGGCAAGACATTAAATATTGAGCAGCAGCTCTCCCATTCATTTGATTTATGAAAACGTATTATACCCCTGGCTATCCAGCAGGACGGAAACTTTCGCATGCCACCGGAGAAAACATTATGTGCTCGCCATCCATACCCGTACCCGTACTCGTATTTGCGAGGGCTGGGAATACTTGTAAGCACTCGTATGAGGAACTAGCTTCCGTTACGTTTATGATAATATTTTATTAAAGCGCAGCATGGCACTCTAAATGTTGGCTTCGCTGGCAAAGGGCAAGCGGCAAGCGGCAAATGGTAAGTAGCAAATGGCAAATGGAAGGCAGGCAGGCAGGCAGGCAGCAGTACGCTACGCATCCACGTAGCAGCCATATCGAAGTCAAAGTCGAAGAAGTCGATGACGACACGCCCCCGCCAAGCGTCCATAATAAATTTTGTTTTGCCGCAACCCCAAGTTTGGGGACAAGGCGCCGGCGCCTCTTTTGTTTGCGGTGACTGTGGCCCTGGGTGTACGTCAGTCCCTCCAAATGTCGATGGTATAGATAGGGAGATGGCAGTGTGGCAGTGTGGCAGAGTGGCGGCTTTGGGCTCGGGGGGTGGCAACTTTAGCATGACTTTTGCGGTCCTGACAGTGTGATAGGCACAACAAAGTTTTGGCAGATTCCCAGAGCAGGCCAACGACCCCCTTCCCTCAGCCCACCTCTTAAACTTGTTGCATTGACAGCATGCAACGAAAGTTGCACGGTGCCCCATGCTGAAACATATCAGCGATAAGCAGCATGTTAATGTTGGCTGCGTGACGCGAACTTTCTGCTGCGAGTGCAGCAAAGTACATGCAACAACATTCTGCATTTGCAAGCATTCTTCTGCGTTGCTGTGCTGCTGCCCCTGTGGCTTCTGCAGCAAATTGGATGGAGCCCCCTCGTTCGAGCCGAACTGCAGTTGGCAAGCGTGTTGACAACGCTACGCACAGTGCAGCCAGCAGTAGATGTGGGTGGAAGAAGCGTGTGCTGCTTCAGCCCCTGCAGGCAGGCCACAATATAAATAGCACTGATTTGTGCTAACAAATACAGTGGCGGTGGCTCCTCCTCTGCGCGTACGAGTATCTGCTATCTGCGACTTGCTGGCAGCCCAAAAGTTAAGCCAACCAACCATACAACCCATTTGTTTATTATGAAAATACGGGCTGGGAGCTCGGCACCGAGAGAGAGAGACACAGAGCGAGTGCCTGGTCTTGGTCCTCGTCCTGGTCCTGGTACTGTACCTGGGTGTACGAGTATGTGTCTGCTGCCCACAAAAACCTTAAACTGATGACACACTTCACATGGAGGTTTCTGCCTCTGGCTCTTTTTTTTTGTATTTTGTATTTTTTTTTTATATTTTCGTTACCGTGTGCCCGTTGCCGGTTGCTCGGCGCAGGGTTTCGGTGCTGCATTTCCGCTTGAATGGCGTCTGTGCTCGGAGCAACTAACAGCCCATTGACAACGGAGCAACCCGGCGCCACCCCCCCCGCACTGGGGCGCTCAGTGGAGGAGTAAGTGTGTCACCACACACGACCACATAACTGAAAGGCATACTTACCGCTTTAAAACTGTGTGCTCCCTGCACATGGCACACTAGCACGAGTATATTGACTTTGAAGCACGAAAAGCTTTCCCAGATACTCCAATACACTGGGGGGCGAAACTCTTTATTACCGCTGCTCGGATCCCTGTGCCCGTTATGTGTGTCTGAGCCGCCTGTCTGAGAGTACAATAGAAACGATGGCGCTGGCAATGGCAATGGCTTGGGAATAAGCGACAAGATGACTTCCTGATCGGTTGGCTTAACGTCGTGCCTTGGCTTTGTTCGGTGGCGGTGGCGGTGGCGGGAGTGGTTGTGGGTGTGGTGCTGGCTCTGCAAGCGGGTCCTGCAGCATGCCTTTCTTTTCCCCGGCCCCAATCTCGGCATCGACCTCAGCTTCCGCCTCGGCCACAAACAGGGAGATAAAGTTCTGCACGAATCCCTCCAGGCTGCGCATACTGGTCTGCAGCTGGATGAAGCTCTGCTCGTCAAAGATCTTCAGTTGTACGCGATCGGCGGTGTCCTTGGATAGGCTGGCCTGCTCGTAGTAGGCCCGACGTTTGTCCAGCATCTTCCGGCAATGGCGCTCCACATTTGTCACGAAGATAATAATGTCCTTGATGAGGCCGTTGATGACGCGGTTCCGATTGCGCCTGTCGCGTGTGTTTAGCTTGGATTTTTTATACGTAGACTGGAACTTTGCGGAGATTAGCTCAAGGTCATTGGGCATGCCCTTCAGGGCGTCCTGCGTGTAGACCAGCAAACCCTGAAAATGCATTCGTTGGACAATGTCATTTCGATTGGCTTCGCTACTCACGTTCATATCTGTGATGGCATGGGCCGGCGAGTAGATCGTGTAGTCCGGCCACCAGTCGTCGAAGTAGCCACCGAATTCGTCTCGGCTCACGGGCAACATTTGTGTCCAGGCGATCTTCCGGATCAACACTGTGCGGGGGCCCATCAGCTCCTGAATGAGGTCGCGCACCTGCGACACCCCCGAGGAGCAGCAGCTTGTCATCTGCTCGGACTGCTCCGAGGAAATACTTTGAAATTTATTGGTCTTCATTGTGACTGAAATCGAATTATTGCAAACTGATATTTGTGTGAGGGAATACCTGGCGGGCAATGTCGTTTTTTTTTGTATGTCACATTTTGCAATTGATTATCCGAAATAAATATCGGAGGTAGCTTGACTCTGATCATAGTATTAAATTTCAAATTCACAGCTTACTCTGCGCCAATTCCAGCTGGCGAAGCCTCCGGCGAATTTTGCCTTACACGACCTCTGTGTGGCTACTTTTGGGCTTATAAAATTGTCTTAGGCAAATCTCACTCCCAATCTCAATATTATGCCAACAGTAGCTGGCAGTTGCAGAGGTACAGCACAAAAAAACTATTTAACATGCAACTGTTTAGCTGCCACAAAAGATTCATCGTTATAAATTGCACCAACCGATGATATTCCGTTTAATTTTTGTATTTTTAACAATTGTTATTTAGCATCGCAGCAAAGTAAATACGAATAGCAATTAAATCGTTTGGTAGTTTTATGAACGAGTTGTGTACATTTTATTTATGTTCGGCGCACCCCGTGGGCGCAACATGTTAGTGGTTTTCATGAGCTCTTTGGTTGTGAATAGCAAGTTTTCCTGAAATTAATTCTGGCTACATCTCAAGAATTGGTAAACATATCTCTTTTGGCCATAAATAAAATTTAAATATTTCAGAACTTTTGAGTAGCGATATATAAAGAGAGGCAAGTAATCTTGACGTGGTGTCCAATAATTATCTGATGAAATGTTTAATTCAAAGAGATTTTAAAGACTGAAATTTAATTTGATCAAAGAAAATGTAGTTAATTCTTCCTATCTGCAGAACACATTACTGCATTCCCCGAAACCCCAAAGGGAAAGCGTTTTTCCAGAAAACCGCCTCCTTGGCAGAGCTCATAATGCCCTCCTGCTGCATACAAGTATACTTGTACACTACTACATATGTATATATAAGTATATGTATATATATATAAGTATAATGCTTTCCCAGCTAAACAGCCTGCCACATAGGAACTCGTGACAGTCGGAGCGTCAGGCGGAGAGACAGGCAGCTCTGCAAAAATGTTGGTGCAAAAACTTTTCGAGATTTGTGTCAGCTCGTTTGAGAATTAGTCGTAGGTTTTTAGCAAAATTAAAAAAAATCTGTCACTATGCGGTTGGCATTTGCCGTCTCATTGTTTTTTTGGTCCCCAGACTCCTACTCCTCCTCCTAGTGCTTCTCCCCACTTGCTGCCCTTCTCCTTCTTCTGCTTCTCCGCTCCAGATTCACATCCAGTTTATGTTTCCATTTCCGTTTCCGTTTCTCTGCCTCTATTTAGACAGTCACTTCTGGCCGCTGCACACGGACAGTAGGGGGCATACAGTGGGGATATGTGTATATACATATGTATGTATGTGTATGTGCCTGTTTCGGGGTTTTATCTGTTGGTATGCTCCTGTTCCTGCTCCTGCTCCCTGCGCTTTGATGCGACTTTGTCTTAAATTATTTATGTGCCGCAAAATGTGCAAAGTAATTTATTCTGATTATATGCAAAACAAAACTGGGAAAACTGCTACAAACAAACAAACAAACCCAAAAAAAACACCTGAGAAAATGAAAATGGGCATCAAATAAAATGCGAAACGGCCGCCAAGTGTCAAAAAAGAGCCAGAAAGTCAAGTGCACAGAGAATTAAGCTCTGCACCTGGTCGCTACTACCCACCCCAGAAAAAAAGGCCATATAAATTTGATGTAGCTATAATTTAGCTTTAAAATCGCACCGGAGAGCAGTGCGAGCAGGAGGACTGCACGCATTTAAACGGAAATAAAATAAAATTACAAAAAGTGCGCAACTTTTTGACGTAGCGATTGTTATCCGCCGCTCGGTTCGTTGTTGCTTTGGAGTTGCCTTTGGGCGAGACAGCCGCAACGGCTGTCAGAAAGTGATTTAGAAACTATGCCATGACCCAAAGGCCACCTTCTGGCCAAGCCGCTGGCGCCCAGCTCGGGACCACCTTGTTCAGGTGGAGCTGCCAGCCTGATATCTCCGACTTTGGCATTTGTTTGTTGTCGGCTGTCGTCCGGCTGTCGTTGCTGGCTATAAAGTTGAATTTAAATTCGGCCTTTTCGGTTTTCTCCCATTCAATTCCAGGTGTGCGGCATCGAATTCGGCAATAGAGATACCTTCCAATGGATTGAGTTTCGAATTGTTTGCTGAACACAGCTTGGCAGAACATTTGTGTGGCCCGGCAGCCCTGTCTGTTAATTGTAGCCAAATTCCTGGCACATCAACATTGAGCTCCAAGGAGGGAGACAGGCGCCAAGCCCACATAGCATAACTCTAGAATGTAGTTCCAACATAATTGTGATTTCGTACACACATTCACGAAAATATGCTGAAAATGTCGAAACGTCGTTTACATATTTAATGCTTATGCCTCTAACGGGCTTAATCAACATTACAAAGTAATTAGAGTTAATTCTTTTGTACTTGAACGCACGCCAGAGCCAGACGGCAGACACCCGAACACCCGCACAGTCGCCCGGAAGGCCAGACCAGAGACACACACCTGGAGCGGCACACGGCATTCGCTCTGCTCTCGTTGCTCGGCATTCTAGTCAGCCGCAGTCGAAAGGTGCTTACGCATGCTTGGCAGTGACAGCAGTGACAGCAATGACGATGACACTGACGATGACGATGACACCGACGATATTTGTAAACTGTTGCGCGACAATTTGCATGGTTAATTATCTATTAACTTGGGCATAACTTTTGTACAGCTATTCGTGTGGAGCTGGGCTGGGAGCTGTTAGCTAACAAATGGCCCGGCCGCACATGCAAATGCCGGAGAGGAGACTCCAACTCTGACTCTGTCGGGAGCAGACGAAAATATATATACATCCGTTTCCGTTGTTGTTCCCGTAGCAGTAGCGTTCATTGTCGTTATGTAAAAGGTAAAGCGCACTGCAGAGCGACGGACGTAAAAAGACAAAAGCGGAGAAGCTAATTAATACAAAAGGCGACGCATTGATACCCTAACCATCGTGGTATGGGAGATCACTTGCCAAGTCTCCTGTCAAGCTACTTGCATGTAGATGTACCTAGTGGATAGTGGTTGCTGATTGTTAGTTTTTTGTGTTCTCGCTTCCCAAGTTTTGTGTGCACCGCAATCAAGGCAACTTTCTGTGTGTTTATAATGGGTTAGGGTATAGGAGCAGCATCAGCGGAAACAAGTTTATGGTAATCTTAATGCGTAAAGCTTTCCATTGTTTTGATGCCGCTGCATGCCATACTCGTAAACTTCACTCATTAAATATTTGTGCCTAATTAAAAATGTAATTCTAACAACACGGCAGCAAGAAGTCAAATGGAATTAAGACTACTTAACATGCCCGAAGACAGAGTTCAAGCTGGTGTTGGGCTTAAAACTTAAGAGGATAACTGACAGAGGTGGCTGGCTGAAATCCAGCCAGAAAATAGATAAACCAAACTATTGAATCAGATTATTTGTGTGTGGGAAAGTCGGTTATGTTTTTCTATATTAAATGTATTCGTAGGGTCTATAGGGTGTCGCATCTACTTCCTGCGTACTTTAACAATCGGAGCACGGGTCTTGCTGCTGTGTTCACATAATCCATTTGAATCCATTTTCGGTTAATTTTTAAGAGCCCACAATCGATCTCCATTATTGACACATTTTTGACAAATTGCCAGATAGCCGCAGAGCTGCCTGGACACGGAACCCGTGTGTTCTGGCCAACAGTTGGCGAGTCCTTTTTCGTTTTCTTATTTCGTTTCAGTTTTGTGGATATCTGAAACGTGTCTGGCATTTCAAAATGTGCCAGCACAAAGGGTTCCCACCGCCCTGCGCCTGGACCCACCTTTCTTTTCTGACTTGCCAAATGAAAAAAGGGTCAACGATTTGCGTATTATTTGCTTTATTTTCAATACTCGTACCCGACCCTTGTCAAGTGCAAAGGTCTGTTCTGGCGGCTCATTGCTAGGCAATGAATGAATGCCTGCCTCGATGCTACGCAAATATTGCCGCAATTGCTGACGGTAGTCCCATAGTCCTTTCTGGCTCTCTCTCGCTCACTCTCTCACACTCTCTGGCATGTTGTGTCCTTGCTCCGCTTCTTTCGCATTTCAGTTCATTTCTGGCCTTAATTATGTGCGGCACTGAGCAAACAACAAATGCACATGCACATGCATGCCCCTCCTGCCGTGCACATGCAGCTCTCTCAGTTAATTGCTCATGCCACTCGGAGCTCTGCGCCACTTGACCGAACCTGCCACTGCAGAGACGGCCTGCGCCGCCTGCCCCCCCTACTTTCTGGTCTTAGGCCAACTAGGTCTGACACTATTTAAACTAAACGCTCACCTAAACTTAAAATCATATTCCGCCCAGAGAAAAGAGAATGTTGCTCCTCCAGTGCCCTGCGGCCGGATTTTCGTTATTTAAAAGCCAAAGCAACGGCAACAGCAACAGCAACAGAAACGGCAACGGCCTTTGTCTGCGCTTGACCCCTCTGTCGCAATCCGCAGCTCTGTCTCTCCCTCCGCCAGTCGCCTAGTCCCCAATTTACTTGTGCCTTTTCGTTTGTCCGACTGAGTCTGCCACTGCCACTGTCTCTGTCTCTGTCTCTGCCTTCGTTCCTGCCTCTGATCTGCCGTTGCTATTGCACAATATTGTGGAAAAGGCAAGCTTTGATGTCCTCTTATCAGTTCATCGCCCTGGATTCTGTCGTGCTCGAGAATCATTCGAAAAGGGTTCTTCTCATTGCTGCCGAGGTTAAGTCCCTTTAGAGATGCAGAGATAGTTTTCCCTTTGCCAGATCTACATGGAAATAAGGGATAGCTCGTAATGGAAAAACTTGCACGAGTGCAGGCTCTCCAGCGGAGAGGGGGAATGGACAAATAATACTTAATTCGTCCCTTTATGTAATGTTTAATCAATTAATTAGCGATTTATCGCTGGTAAGTATATTTATTATTTAGTTTAATTATTACATTTAAATGCTTGTGATAAATGAAATGTATAAGGGTATATCAAATGGAGTCTTTAGTATATATTTAGATGGTTAAGGTAAATAATAGCCCATTTTGCGCTCTGCCCCCTTTGAGCCCTTTGCCTGAATGTTCGCCAGAGGAATTTGTCATGAGAAATGTTGGCAAAGTGCATTCCAGGAGCTCTTTTCGTAATGGTTACTGCTGTCGATTTACTTGGGGCAAACAATGCAGGTAATAATGACAGAGCCCGGGCCAACGGCAAGGACAGCTACCGCGACGGGAACCCATGCCGCCCAAAAATGCCACTTCCTGCTACTTAATTTCCGTTTCAAGTGAATTTCCTTGCTGCTAATTTTGTTGCCCACAAACGCACACACACACACACACAGCCAATAACAAGTATACACCTGACTTGGCCAAAAGCACGTGCTGAAATGGAAACTGGGCCACACGGATGCGGACACGGACACGGACATTGCTTTCATGTGCTCTGCCTCTTCGTCCAGTGATTTTCGCCGGTTTGCCATTTGTTTAGCGCATAGTTTTCTTAGCCCGAAAACAAAGCAGAGCCCGAAACAAAGCAAAAACTTTAATATCCGTGCTCAATGGCACAACAGCAACAAGCTATACGGCGGACAATGCTCACTTCAATGTCTATTGATGGGCCACGTGTGTGTCTGTATGTGTGTGTGTGCCCCATACCTTCCTATCTACCTATCTGCCACTCTTTTACTCTTCCCCTCTTGCTCTTTGGGTATGTGTTTGGTTTCGTTTATGCGCAGAAATTAACAAAAATCTCACGAGTTTGTGAATTTAAATGGAGAGCTGGAGCTGCTCCTACGAATGGCATCTAAATTAAAAATTCAGTTGTACTGCAAACGAAATAATTATATTTAGTTGATGGCGAATCTTCTGGGAATTTGGGAATTTCCGCTTTGAAGTGCGCATAAACAGCGGAATTCTGGGTTAGGATTGTGTTGCTGCCTCCGCTTGGGCGCATATTAAGCCATTGTGAGCCTTGCCAGCACGCTTTTAACCCGAAATTCAACGAGCTAGCGTCTCAGAGAAAACTTTTTTAACTGAACAGCCGCATAAAAGCTCCTCGGCCATTACTATCATTTACAGAAGTAGCAGCAACAGCAGCAGAAACAGCAACAGCAACAAAAACTGACTGCTATTATGGTGGCTTAGTCGGGTCTGGGCCTGGATACTGGATCCTGGTCGTTGTAGATCCTGCTTCTGGCTCTGTGCCTGAGTGTTTGCTGCCATTTTTATTTGCAGGGCGAGGGTTTACGGCAAATGTGCATTGAGCATTTGTGTCTCTATCGCTGGAAAGTGAGTCTGTGGGGGGCAGGGCGGCAGGTCCAGAGTCTGCTTTTGTGCGCATTGTTTGTGGCTCATTGTCTTGCCACTGGTTGCAGTTTATACTCGGTGCTCTGTACTCCTTGTCCTTGTTCCCATACTTACATCTCGTGTGTATGCTGCATGCAGCATTTAGTATCTGCGGTTAGCATTCCGAGTGCTGCTTGTCCCTGCTCAGGCTCAGACCGACCTCAAGGAGCAGCGATGTTTGCCCAGCACCGTTCCAGGAAGCTACCGAGCTAATGTAAAATATGCATGCTTAATTGTAATTCTAAATCCAAAACCACGGGACATTAGTTGCCCGGTTCCCGGCTCCCGGGCAGTCACTGTTGCAAATTAACATCAATAATAAATTTCGATTTGCAGCAATTACGATGGGTCTCGATGGGTAATGGGGTAATGGGATGGTGGTCATGGGAGTTGCCTTATCACCCATGAGCGTAGTGGTGAACGATGCATTTGGCATCGGGCATAGCTCTAACCATTTACTCGTAAACATAAACACATATGTACATACATTAATATATATACATATATTTAAATGCCATACAAATTGATTGATTTATTATGTATGCATGGGCGTATCAGTGGGTAGTGTGGAGTGGGGGGTGCGTGCTGCTCGATGGGAAAGCGTTTCGAAAATTATTCCGCTCGCATTAAATGCGATTTAAGTGCGGATACTGTTGTTAAATGTTATACAAATATTTCCACGCAGGGCTATTTAGAAAAAATCAATATTTATGGTAATCCCGATGCCATAAACGTCACATGTATGCCGCCCCCAAAGGCCACGGCGGCCCCAACTGCAGCGGTAAGTCATGCTTTGCGCCCGGCTCTAAAGCCACATAACCAAATGAATGACATGCAATGATTTGGATTTAAATTAATTAATAAATAGCCAGGCAAATCATCTTATCATATCTGATAAATTACATTAAAATTGCATTATGTCCACACAAGTGAGAGAAGATTTGCATTGGATTTGGGCGTATTTTATTGAGAATACTGCAAACAATGTGCAATCAGGTACACTTCTATGGCATGCAAATTAAATCTATGCGGTCCAAAGTCAAAATTGTGCATTAAACAGAGTGTCAGGCATCAGAATATGAAAATAGGAGTAATTGAAGCCACGCATCGTCCGATTACACATGCGATATGGTATTACCATCGCCAGCAGCACAACATCATAAATGAAGAATAGCATATTATTTTCGTAACAGTGTTCTGGGCATCAGCTGAAGCTTAGGGGTAGTAGCTGAACTCTGTGCTTTTTCATCTACCTCAAATAACTCATACAAAATTAAGTTTCTGCCTTTTATTTGAAATTTTATTTAATTAAATGATATTCGGATATAATGAAATTTATACCACTCAATTTCGAAAAACCTAATCCAAAATGAGGCAAAAAATAATTCATATATGTAAACACCTTGCACATGTCCGCTTATATTTTTATTATTTATTACTTTGGCTTGCTTGTAATTTTATTTATGTAAATTTTTATTTTTATTTTGAAGGATCTAGATTCTTTTCTCGAAGATGGATCTGGAGCGGTATGTTGTCTCCAACGAAATTATTATTGAAAACTTTTCTTTTTCCCACTATAATTTTTCATTTTCTCCCACCCCACTTTGCGTTGTTCTTTCGGGTCCTAAGGGTGAACCCTTCGAAGAGTCTACGGAAGTGAATATTTTAAGCGATGACTTTTGGTCCTTCGATGATGAGGTTAGTCTGGGGTGTGGCAGTACCAAAAGAGTTAAATTAAATAGAGCAAATGTCAGTGTAATACTCGTACAGAAATGCGTTTTTGCAGTGGCATTGTTTTGGTATTGCTATTGACAGTGCTCTTGAACGAGACATAAAACTGGGCTGAATCGGTCAGCGTGGGTCAACACTGTGGTCGCCTGTCGACGGCACTTTGCATAATTAAATATTTATATTTAGTTATAAGTTAATTTTGGGTCTGGCACAGTGCCAGAGCGGATAAAGCGAGCGATGCAACAACTATTTGCACTCACGTCTTAATGAGTTTTCAATAAGCAAACGATATTCATTCTGCTCTCTCTCTCTCTCTATCCACAGGCAACGGACATCTTCGACGCCAGTGGCATGCAGCCCCCAGGACAGACGCAGTACACGCACGAGAGACGTAAGTGCAGTGCCAGTGCCAGTGCCAGTGCCAGTGGCTGGGCGCCAATTAAGAGATATGTTAATGCAACTGCCACACTTCTACGCGTTTTTGTCCTTGCAGCATATCGCGGCATCAAGGGCGAGAAGGGTGAGCGCGGCCCAAAGGGCGACAGTATACGCGGCCCCCCTGGACCGCCGGGTCCACCTGGGCCCAAAGGCGAGGCGGCTGCCTATCCACCCTTTGTGGAGACAACGAGTGCGGGGGCTGTGAGTATCCAAATATTAAAAATTGGGAAATGTCCCCTGTAATGTGATCCCAACGAACTACTCCTTCTCTCTCTCTCTTTTTGTTTCAGAAATACACTGGCGAATGTACATGTAATGCGTCTGATATCCTAGAAGCCATCAAGGACAATGAGTCGTTGCGGGAGACGTTGCGCGGTGCGCCCGGTGCGGCGGGCAAGGACGGGAAGCCAGGTACCCCTGGTCACACCGTAAGTAGAGCCGCCACGGGCTTCATACCATGTCTACCATATCCCTGGGCCACACATATCTCTTTTCTCTTCTCTGGCACTTCGTCATCTGTGTGTATGTGTGGAGTGGTAATTGCGAGCTACAACGGGTTTGCCTAAGAAGCAATATTTGACATGAATCTAACACATTTTCAATTTCACTGCACACATCGTCTAATCTTCAAGAGTGAGAGTGGCTGATGGCTGGCCGGACCCAAAAGGGGCTCCATGTTTTCCCATGTCAAACAACATAATTTGCACTGTGCAGCTGCGTGGAGTGGAGGGCTCGTACTCGTATGTTTGGTGTCTGTGTGTGTGCTTGTGCGTGTAACCGGAAATGGAAAAAATGATAACGCACACACTCACACAGAGATAAGATATGAAAAAAAAAACACACACACACACACATAAAGAGGAATAAAGGGAGAGAGAAAGATGACAAGAAAGCGAGAAAACGACAAAATGAAAATGGAACAAATCGTAACGCAACGTAACGAAAATTTCTTTATGCGCCAGCTCACGCTTAAACACTTATCCACTCTCCGGGTGCTACTCGTTATATTATCTCATCAACTGAGAACGTCTTTGGCAACCATAAGAGCTCCGTACGTCCGCACAAAGGAACTGACTCTGACTCTGCCTCTGACTCTGACTCTCTGGCAGTGTCCATGGTCTGAACTACACTTGACTGTACTTTCCATTTACTTCATGTGATGTGTGTACACTTACTTTCACTCCCCACCACTCTACCTCTTTCTCTTATGTGTCTCTGAGTGTGTGCGGGTCAAAGGCAAAGTCCACAATGTTACAACAAGATGACTGCCTGGCCTCTGCCTCTGTCTCTGCCCAGCAAGAACACTGCACTGCGCTCCACTCTCTTCTTGAGTCCACTCCACTCACTTAAGTGCTTATCACGCAACAGAGCCAAAAGTTTGAGAGGCTAAACGAAAATCTAGAAGCGTACAAAAATGTTGAATTCATGCCCATTACTCTGGGAATTATTCAAAAAGCGAAAGAAAGCCAAAGACAGAGTGCTTACCCATTTCCTTCCACCACTCTTTCCACTCTACACACTGGCCGTACAATCTGAAACGTTCTGTCCTCATTTGGGCCACTCTAGCAACCTGTGGAACGCAGCCTCTTCAATACACTGCAATACATCAAAAGGAAAGCGGTATGCCAGCCAGACATTCTGCGGTCCATCGCAAGCAGCTAACTGCTAGGGAAATATGCCTGTCCTATCCCCACCGCAGAGGGGGGATGTCTTCTAAGCCCAGTATCCCCAGTACTTTGCTGACCCACCCACCCATCTATGTACGAGTATTTTCGAACCCAGTGCCAGTGCCAGTCCCAGTGCCGGTCCCAAAGGCTTCGCTTGCTGAGAAATATGGCCAGTTGGCGCGCATACCGGAAATTCCTGCGACAACTTTGTTGCCCTACTGCTAATCCCTTAACTAATAGCAATTAATTTAAAAGACGACGATAAGCAACAGCTACAACCCAACATCAGGAACGACAAGAACAGCAAGAACAGGGGCACGGACCGAGGCACGCAAATGGCTCACAGCGTGACCATTTTGCATAAGATTAAGAACATTCGGAGACACATTTTTTGTGTACCCATCCATGTCGCTATTGGAATGCCTACCACCAACCAAGTCGCTGGGCCCAAACCGCACACCAGGACGAGGTCGAGGGCCCGCGTAGATTAATGAGCTCGGACTGAAATCGCAACGATTATGTAAATCGGCCACACAGCCAGTTAGGGCCCCAGCCCAGCCCTGGCCCAGACGAGTCCATTGGAATGCTTGTAGCCACCCTGACCGACCCTCTTTAGAAACTGTAGTGTAGACGTAGATACGTAGACTTGTAGCACTAAGGCACTAACGTATAGGACACGTTATATGCACGCCCACTAATGTGATTTATTTCTCTGTCGCTGCCGGCGACATTCTTCTTCTTCTTCTCCTTTCCCCGCTCTCTTTTCTTTCTCTTTGTCTTTATCTTTATCCAGGGAGCCACCGGCGTGCCTGGAGCTAGAGGCGCGCGTGGTGCCGAGGGTGCCCAGGGGCAGAAGGGCGAGCCAGGCGTCGATGGTCTGCCCGGCGTTGCAGGCCCCCAGGGGCCAGCAGGCCCGCCTGGTTTGCCCGAGAACTACGATGTAAGTATCCTTCAATATAAAACCCATTTCAAATTTCTATAAAGACTGTGAATACGTCTTTGTGGCATTAATATAATGTAATTAATGAATCTAACTGAAACCTGCAATGGGTGTTTCATGTGGAGCGTACCCAGAATAGTTTTTATTTCTCTTTAAAGTAAAAGTCACAGTTTATTCCATATTGAAATTAATAATACAAAGTAATAACATTTACTAGAGAATTGTTGCTCTGTTTGTCCTATTCCCTCATCAAATTTCAGTCAATACTCTCGGTACTAAATTATATATTCATGAGTATACCCAATGAAACATTAAATTTGACTTATCAGCGTACTAGAATCCAGGCACAGTTTTTATTTTTTATATCCGATTTTTATGAGCCCACTGAAACACCCACAAACTTTGGCCAAGCCAAAGATTTAAGTCTCTGCATGTTAATCTACGATTAACAATTATAAGCTATAAATAATACCCGGGTAATACTATTATATTTGAAAGTTCAAAGAAAAACCACATTAAGTGAAAATTGAAGATGTGAATTTATAATATTATAAAGTTTGCCAGGGTATTCATATTTCGGTACTCCGAAATTATATTATATTAAATTTTTGTTTGGTTCTGACTCAAAATTGCACCTTTTACACTGGGCAAACAGGGGCGCGTTTGTTAATGCAGCTGGTTGGTGTCCAGATCCAGGTCCACGTCCAGGTCCCTCATCCGTCTTCGTTCTGGCCTCCGTCTGTTTTCAATCACGCACATCTTTATGAATTGGCACGGCTCTCGGTGTGGGCAGTGGGTCTGGGCCGCGGTAAACGTCCGTCGTGTTTTACAAGCCACACAATTTGCCTAAACTAATTTCCTTCCTGGCCAACAGAGCAACTGTGAAAAATTACCACTCGGATTGGGCACAGACCTGCTGCTCCATTCCGGGCATGGCGTCACGCCAGTCTTTGCGCAGCTGTGGAGCACGTTCTGGCGCTTTCAGTGCCGTTGTCGCTGCCACAAATGGTCTATCTCTGCTAATAATCTTAAAACCGCAAAGGTTATACCACAACAAAAACAACAGCAACATTTTCCAAATGCGAAATGCCTGAAACGTAAGCGTCTTGAGCACGCGAGTCAAAGTCAAGTCAAGTCAAGCCTAGTCCTAGCCGTAGCCGTAGCCCTAGTCCTAGCCCATGGGCTTCTTTCAGTTCCAATTCCGAGGGCCCCGCATGTCGATGCCGCTGCCGCTGCCAGAGTTCCAGCTTGTGGCAATTACCGTTATCAGCGCACGGCGCGCGGTTCACGCGGTTAAATGCGGTAACACGCACACAGATACTGGCACCCACTCACTCACTCACTGACTCCTTCACCCGCCCAGCCACCCAGCCAGCCACCCAGCCACCCACACATCACTGCTGGCATCCTGGCTCCCTGGCACCCAGCGCCCTATCGCTGCCACTCTTAACCCTTTCATGCAAGAGTGAAACTTTTCTTTCTGCCGCCCCGGCCCGGCTTTATCGCCGCATTTCAACGCCCCGTATGTTTGCCTCTCCCCCTTATACACCATCTAACTGGGGAGAGTGTTCTGTGGACGAGTGACGAGGAGACAGGGCCGTAATCATTATCGCACTGTTACGTTTATGAAAGTGTCAAGCTACTTGTGGTCGACGTAGCGGCAGTAAAAATCAGACACTCACTCGCCTCTCGGCTCTCGTCTGTCGGTTGGAGTCTGTCGTCTGGCGTCTGGCAGTCCTCCCACTGTTTAATGTCGGAGGGTTTATCATCATTATCATCGCGGCAGAGCCGGCCTTTGGTGGCGATGCTTAAAAGCTTTTCGCTTTCCTCTGTTGTTGCTCTTGCAGGGTGTGGTATCCCTTGGACATAGGGTAAGCTGTGCATGGAGACTCGACAACAAAAGTAATTCGATTTTTTCCAGCCATAGATGGACCTTGAGAATTTCAATATACTCGTATATACTCGTATTTCCACATGGTTTCCATATATCAGGATTAAAGGGTAGAAAGACAACCGATTGGAATTCTTAAGAGTTTTTTAAAATTCGCACTTTGGGTACTTTGTGAAGGAAATGCTTTTATGTGTATTAGAACGACTTTGACACGACAACGACGAAGACTCTTTTTTGATCTTTTATTCAGAAATCCAATTATATTTATCTCTGTATGCCAATAATATGTGGCGCGTCCTGTAAAAGTTGCAATTTTGATGGGCAATCGTTTGCCGCAATTTTTCGTTTGTTTGTTTATTTCATACTTTTCGACATCGAAGTGAATTCATCTAATAATACGCTCTAATTTCACGCCCATTGCTCTGTAATCGTATATTTTAAACGTAAATCGTATCGCAAAATTATGTACAATGTATTCTTGTAACAATCAACACATAAATAACAGATAAATTGGAATCCTACCAGGACTTTCAAGGTACAACCATTTTAACAATTCCATTTTATGTTCCCCCACAACTAAAACGACTAAGCAAAAAAAACTAAAGACAAATATATATGAGAGAAAAAGAAAAAAGAAAAAAAAAAGGCAAAAGGTTGGCTCCGGGTAAGCAATGGCCACAACACTTAATGGACTAGAACCACTTGGCATCATTAGCCCCGCCCCCCAATCTGGGCAGATGATCATTAATCAAAATTTCCGCCGTGGATACACCTCCATACGGCCGTATCTGTGTGTATGTATGTATGTGTGTCTGCGGCATGTGTCCCTCGTCAAAAAGGGGGCTGCCTGCTGCTGCGGGTTAAAAAATGTGCGGCGGGGGGCCCGGAATACATGTATCGAAAATAAATTGTACAACAAGCAAATATTTAACAAATTACTATGCCTGCCCTCTCTCCACCACCACCCCAAACAGGAGTCCTTAATGGTCAACTCGATGGGCACATTCCGGGGCACGACGCAGCCTGGACCCAAAGGTGTGTCCGGCGAGAAAGGTGATGCGGGCCAGAAGGGCGAACGCGGCGATCCGGTAAGTCAGAGGGCATGTCTAATAAATGGCCCAAGTATTCCCCCTCCCCCTCCCCCTACTCCTAGTTCAATGTGCGTATCCCTCGGCGCACGTGTGTGGGTGGCTGTACGAGAATATATATGTATTATATTTATTATAAAGTGTGCAGGCAGGCGCCCACACGATTGTTGTTTCAAATATATAATAATTTCTGCCCTATTGACTGCTCAATTGATTTTGAGGCTCCTCACAAGGCCAGCCAGAGCAGCGAGGGCAGGGCAGGGCAGGTCAGGGCAGGTCGTTTGCTGTTCCTGGTCAAATGAGCAAATTCCATGCCTGCATATGGAAACCTTTGTACTCCTCTGATGTGTTTGCATCGCCCACTGAAAGTAGTTCTTAGACCTCAGCCAATAAGAAAATGTTATAAATGCCAGTTAGGCAAATGAATAGCCTGATATTAACCCTTAAGAGGCGACAACTCGTTAAGTACTTCCCTTCAGCCAAGCTAAATTGTGGCCCAATTTGATAATCAGTCATATTTATTTCGGGGTGCAGCTCCCTGTTCGCTCCAGCTGGGCTCCAGCTTTCCCCATTTTGATATTTATGGCATCGCAGTCATTTGTGTGGTCGTCCAGCAGGAAAAGACCCAATTTGGCACATAAATTTCTATCAGCAGCCAGTCCCGAAATGCGTCACTTGAGACGCTGCCAATATCTGATGATTCCCGCTCCAGTCGCTGGTTTACTGGTCGGGGCGCGGGGGAGTGGACAATTTGTGTGCGTTTATAGCTCATTTGATTTTCAGTGGATACGATCGCAGGGGTGTGCCGTGAGGACTAGTTTATGGGACTGGGACTGGAACTGTGCATGTCACACACTGGATACACGGTCTGGATACAGTCTGGATACACAGCTGGAGAGCTGGAGAGTCACTCCGTCAGCAGTGAGCACTAGCTATTTCGTTTCTTTTCAGTTCTGGCTGGCATTATTTTCATAATAAGTTTTTGGCCATTTGGGGAGCTCATCCTGCTTAGGCGACGCTTACTTCCCTGCCATTACACTGTATGCCATTTAGCAGCTTAGCTGGGCTGGCTTTGCACCCTCGGACGTCCTCCTAGGCGAACCCTCGCTCCATTCCTCGTTAGCAGGGGGCGTGCACACTCGTATTTCTTTTATGTGCAACTTCAAAACTTAAATCTGGCAACGGGGCTCGCCAAATGTGTGTTGTTTGTCTGTTGGTCCGCTGGTCTGTCGGCCAGTCGGTTTCCGGTGTCGCAGATTACTCTTCGAAATCGGATGCAGCACACCTCCCACCGCTGAGCCATCCAATTTGTAGCCTCCAGAGACTTACACGACCTTTGATATGAGCCATATACATATACACATGCGGCATGTGGCAAGCGAATCTTACGCCATACGTGGGCTCGGGGCAAGGTCTCTTTTAAGTAGTTTCCCCATTGTGGCCACACCCGGAATTTAATCGTGCGTGAAATAAAAAGAAATTATGTTAAAAGCTCCTTACCAGCTCCTCCTTCTTCGCTGGAAGCACATTATATAAAAATCGATTCGGCTTTTATGATAAATTTACGCCCAATTTGTCGGAGGGGCTCGTTCCGTTCCGTTCCGTTCTCCCTCCCATATCCATCTCGCATTACAATTTTCGGAAAACTAATATGGAAATTAGCATTTTAAACGTATGAATACACGCACAATTAGGTTCATTTCATTAAACCTAAAAAAGAGACACATCCACCCTCCCCTCTTTCTCAAGGTCTTCCAAAGACAGCCACAGCCTCCGGAGCATTCGCGCGCGCACTGCCTTAAGGCGAATCACACACACACACACACACACACATCCCTGTGTACATGTGTGCTTGTGTGTGCCTGCTTGTGTGCTTGTGTGCGTGGCTTATTAATTATTCATTAGTTCGTATTAAGTTGGCGATATGAGGCGCAGGGTCTGCGGCAAGGTAGGCAGGCTGGGTCAATCCGAACGGGAAACCAGTAGCCGGATCATCCACAAGCTTGAGCCTCCTGCTGCTGCGAACTGTTTCCACAGCCAAATGTTTGGGGAAGGCGCGTGCAAATTTATGGCGAACCATTTAAGGCGCTGATGATGTGGAAGACGACGCTGGGGATGAATCGAGTCGGCGCACCCGCTGAGGGCGATGGGCGATGGGGATGCCAACTTCCACCACAAGGGCAGTGGAGACGACCCAAAAGGAATTTGGTTTTTGTGTTTTCGGGCTTGTCACCGCTTGCTGTGGTGCATACATTCGGGCGCATAAATTTCCCCAAGCGATGCGTGTGCGTGTGTGTGCGTGAGTGTGGGTGCGGGATTTCGGAATTGATTTGATTTCAAAATGAGTTGGAATTGAATTTTTTCTGTCGTCGACAAAACGTTTGAAATTGAGTTTTACGGCCAAATTAGGCGAGAGACCCCCAATTCCCGTTCCCCGCCCCAAAAGAACTGATGATTTCCTTTCCCATTCCCCATTCCCCATTCTCCCTCTTGGGCCACATGTAGCGTAAATTTAAGCCCGTAAATCATTTCACACACTTGCTTTCTTTCCGGACTTTCCGGCTAGGGTCACAAAGGTGCGCATGGGTCCAACGGCGCAAAGGGTGAGCCTGGCGAGCCCGGCACGCCCGGTCTGCCCGGCCTCCCTGGACAGGCTGGCCAGCCGGGTGGACTCGAAGGACTCTCAGGACTCTCCGCCAACGGCACCAAGGGCGAGAAGGGCGAAAAAGGCATGCGAGGCCGCCGCGGAGGCACTGGCTCCACGGGGCCAATTGGGCCGCCTGGCAAGCCAGGCGCGATGGGCGATATTGGACACTCGGTAAGCACTGTACTGTAGTGAAGAGGATTGCCACTTGCAACTTTCGCCTGCACACTGCTTTCACCCATTTGGGCCCTGCTGTTATTGCTGCTGCTGTTGCTCGTGCTCCTCCTGTTTTTGGTTGAGGCGAGAGAGAAAGAGTGAGTTCAGGTAGGCAGAGTTACGCCAGCAGTGCGTAGTTCGTATGACATATGCCTGATCATCAATGTTGAGTATTTTTGTGTTATTTTATTCAAATTAATGTACTCAGAAAAGTTATTAACATAAGGGAAATTTTTTAGCGTCTTTTTCTGATAGTTTTCTGATAGTTTTCTGATATTAAAATCGAAATAGAATAAACTGCAGGATGTGTGCACTTCGATTACACTCGACTAAATCAGATATAGTTTTCCCTTTTGACAACAGGCAACTTTTGGCCGCATTCGCAATGTAGACAATCAGGGCGGAAAAAGAGGAGTAAGAGATTGGGCCCAGACAGAGGCACGGACTGAGTAAGATGCAAAAACGAAAGCGGCACACAACTTGGCAAAATAAACTCAAACGAAAAGTATTTTAAGTGCATTTTCATCACGGCTATTCAGGACGCGGCAGTCAGTGCACGATTCCAATTGCAGTTTTACCCAGAAATTCCGCCATTATTCCGCAATAACAACACTAAGCAAAAGGCAACACCAACAGCAACAGCAAAACATCAGTGGCAACAACAGCAGTGGCACACTGGCAAACTGGCAATAACAGCTACGTATACAGCCATGGCAGTGGCAACAAAGAGTAACTTTCCTTTTTGGCCGTGTCTGAGTCAGTGAATCGAGAGGCGAGAGGCGCGCGTGTGCCTCTCTGTGCCAACTGGCATCGCTTACCGCTTCAAATCAGAGTCAAGCAACGTATTTACATGGACTGCAGCGTCGGAGTGGCGGCCAAAAAGGAAAACTTTGGCACAATTGCCGTAACGGAACCGAACGAGCAACGGGGAAAACAAAAAGCGTTGCGACTAGAAAATTGTTGCACTCCAAACGGCAAAAGTTTTGGCCATAGTTCAGCTTGCCCTAGTGGGCCCAGGCGTGGCCATTGCCTTAGCTCCTGCTCGTTTGCAACAGACATTAAATTCGTGCGGCCGTTGCTGCCAATGATCTTATAATTTTACACGAACTTTCCCACTTACGGCAAGTCGAATGTGATTTTTGTTTGCCACGTGCCGCCGCACAGCCATATATGAGTTTACGTATACGTAATTTTTGGCACAGTAATTTGCAGTCGTTTCAAAAATTGCACGTATCTAATGAACTCAAAGATCTAACATCAGTCTTTGCTTATAATCCCCCGATTTAATCGATTCACAGGGCCGACCTGGCATGACAGGCCCAAAAGGTGAGCTGGGGCCAAAGGGCCCCAAAGGAGATGCTGGCGGTCGCGAAGGGGTAAGTCCTTTTCCAATCGGGTCAATGGTGATCGATCACATCACCAAAACGACATCTTTGCTTGCAGCCCAAAGGTGACAAGGGCGACACGGGCCAGGATGGACGCGACGGGCTGCCAGGACCACCAGGGCTACCCGCCTCGGGCGGCGGTGACGGCGACAGCAGTGGAGTCCAATATATACCAATGGCTGGCCCACCTGGGCCACCGGGACCGCCTGGCCTGCCCGGACTCTCGATATCCGGCCCCAAGGGGGAGCCGGGCGTGGACTCGCGCAGCTTCTTTGGCGACGCCTCCTACTACGGTCGACCAGGTGAGTGGGCCCCGCCGCGAAGGTGTCGGGCCAGGTTGTAAATATGAATAGTTAGGTGCCTGTAGTTGTGCCTTGATCAATCATACAATATCTGTACATAACTAGCATTCTCCTAGCCCGAATCAAACCTAAAACCAAAAACAAAACAAAAAAATCTATCAATCCAAATCATTTGTATCGTACTCGCCCATCAAGGTGCGCGCTCATCTTTAGACGAACTCAAAGCCCTGCGAGAGCTGCAAGATCTGCGCGATCGGCCCGACGGCACAGCCGGTAAACGAACCCACTAAATCTCTCAACTCCATCCACAGTAGCCGTAGCCACAGTTTTCCCCCTTTGAATGCCATTTGAGTGTCGTGTCATTTGAATTTACCCGTAGGATGACTTTCCCTTTGGGCCACACCACACTCCCACTCCCACTTCCACTCCCAGTTTATTGCCGGCATGCCTCAACACACACTCATACACGTAGTGCATGGAGCGCGCTGCCTCCCATATTTGCACATCATCATTAGCTCATTTTGGCCCGTTGATAGAGTACAACATGTAAACACTTTGCGTATTCCAGTATTTTAACACCGTCATGACTTTTTACCCGTAAAAAAAAAAAACACACGAATCATCCACCTACATTATGTTATATTTACTGGCAGCCTGGAGAGTTCGAAAATATTTGGCATACTTTAGATAAACCTCTTTTGCTTGCCTTTTGTTATGTGCAAATGCCAGCATGTAAAAAATAATAATTACTCAGGCTATAACTCCTCAAATCGTAGCATATGTATTTGGGGGTCAATGAAAATGTTTACAAAATAAATTCGGATATAAAAAGTTGGCATGTTAAGGATATAAATTTATTTATATTCTGAATCATTTCAATCATGGCTGCCTTTAAGACTTTAATAAATAAGAGTGCTTTCATTTTTATTTTCCATTATAAATTCCTTGCAACAAAAAGCTTGATGTTTTTTTTTTTATTTATAGTCATTATCCTCTTTTTTCACTCTATTTTTCCTCTATTATCCTTTATCGCTCTTGAAATCGTCGCTTGTTTTAAACTGTATTATCATTAAATTGAAATTTCTTAAATCACTGTGGCCATGTAGCACTCAGGGATATCGAATATAGTTTTAGGCCCATTTGTGCTGCCATATAATGCATATTCCATCCTTGCAGAAGCTCCGCGCCAGCCGGGACACTCACATAAGCACGAAGAAGCCTTGGGGCCTGCTGTGGGCGAGGAACCATACTTTTCGGCCTCATCGTCGAACATAAACATGAAGATTGTGCCCGGCGCAGTCACCTTCCAGAATATCGATGAAATGACAAAGGTGGGTCTGGCCCGTCGGATAACCTCCCTTAGATAAATTTGGAATGTGCCATTTATTTTTAAACGCTTTATATACTCGTGCGCGTATCTTCTGCAGAAATCGGCACTCAATCCGCCTGGAACGCTGGCCTACATCACCGAGGAGGAGGCGCTCCTTGTGCGCGTCAACAAGGGATGGCAATACATTGCGGTGAGTCCTCCGGTTGGCATTGGGATTGGGACCTGGATCGGCGTTTAGGCTTGGGTTTGGGTTTGGCGATTGGATCCAGGAAGGGAGCTGGATTTGATTTCTGGCTCCTAAGCAAACAGCCTAAGTGTGGGTGGGTGGCACTTTTAAAATGCCAAATATGACAAGAGCTGAGCACGTTGGCGGGCGGTTATTATTTTATAGAGCCAGCTCCGAGCGGCTGAGTGATGTTCCATTATGGCCATATGCCCTCGAACCGAACAGAAGACAAAACCGAATAAAATGCATATAAAAATAGAAGAGCAGAAACGGTCCCCGCTCTTATTTATTTATTTTTCTTGGCTGCCATAAAATAAGGTTTGTTTGGTATTGCCCCTGTGTCGACTCCACTCGACTCGACTTGACTCGACTCGTTTTTTATTTGCACATTAAATGTTGCAGACGTACGGACTGATTGCCCCATGGATTCGCATACGAGTTTGGTACGAGTATGTGCGTCTTCCGGGGATGTCTGGGTGCGTGTGGCCCGTTATTCAATTATATTGACTTGAGCTTGGCTTTTCACTTGTCCCAGTTAACGGATCCAAGAACATCCTCCTCACACTCAAGGGGGAGTTGCAGAGGACATATGGCATGTGGCAGGCAATTCGAGGGAGAATACACAAGCACAGTCGCTTCGACAGCAGCTTTCAAACATTTATTGACGAAATATAAAACATGCATCCAGCAATCAGGAGGGACCCGGCAACCCGGGTACCCGCCTTGGAGTCATAAATTGCCGTTGCAGATTAAAAATAATATTAAACGGAAATCGAAGGTTTTATTATCGTTTCTTGGACACTCGTGGCAGGGCCCTCCATCCTACTCTCTAAATTCGCCAGCGCCACATGTCAATTAATCTTTCCTGTCGCCACAGCAGGCTCTGGGCCAAGGTGAGCAGCAACTTGCCACTTGCCAATGGCCAATGGCCACTGGAAACGGGACCCTGCTACATGGCAATTTGCCTCGCTCAGCATTTGTGAAGGATTCTCAAATTACACGCAAAATTGCTCGATTTCCCAGAAGCTTGTTAAACATTAAAGTGGCCGCAATTGCTGCTGCTGCTTGCTTCTTTATTGAAATCCAAAAAATGGGGAAATGAAAGAGAAAACTAGTGCCTGCCTTTGTGCCCAAAATGTACAATATTCTCAAAATTGTGTAGAAAAAAATAAATGAAAAAAAAAGAAAGAAAAAAAAAACTGCTCAAGATTCGATTTCCACTTCCGTTGATGCAAGGCACAAAAGCCTTCACAGCGGGGCCAAGGCACAGAGCTGGTTGCTGGCTGCTGGCTGCTGGCTCCTGATTTCTGGCAAACTGTGCCTGCCTGGCATGTGCATAAGGCGGCCCCGAATGAAACTGAAATCTCTTGCCTTTGACGGCAGCATTTAAATACTTTTGACAACAAAAACCCCAACACGGGACCATGAACTGTCAGGGCGCAGGGTAGTCACTAGCTCATACTCGTACTCCCACTCGTACGGGAGCGGGAGCAAAGCCCCTTTGTTGCCCTACTAACTGGCATTTGCATTTGTGATTCGTCTGGGCCTCTACACAGCTGTCTGCCCGAGATACTCCTCGTACTCGTACTTTCTTGTAGCCGAGGCGCTAGCCTAATTAGATTTCAGTACACGAGTCGACTACTTAAAGTTCAAAATAGTAATTAAAACTTTTGTCAGACGACGACGACGACGATGGCGGCGGCGGCTGCGACAACGCCAAAGTCAGACTTGGGGACAGAGCCGCGCATTATGGCACGACAGTCGAGTGGATGGCAGTCGAAAATTTGACCCTAATTCCGTACAAAAAAGCAAGCGAAAGACTGCTGCTGTTTGCTACATATTTCGCTACACGTAATGCAAATATTTGAGCAAAAGTTTCAATACGAGAGCGCTGATTTCATCTCATAATGGGGCGAGTGCTGGGCTCTTTGCTCCCTGTCCTTGCTGAAATATTAACTACTTTGAAAGGGTTGTGTCGCTGTCTCCGCCGATGCCGATGCCGGTGCTTGTGCGGGTGTATATTTGTGCAGAGCTCTTGTTTTATTAATTACAAATTCGTCAAACGCTTGTTTGTCTGCCTGCCTCTTAATTACGTTCTCACATTTAATTCCCGTTTGTCTCCTCCATTTTATTTTCTTTTTTTGTACGCAGCTGGGAACCCTGGTGCCGATTGCCACGCCCGCGCCGCCCACCACTGTGGCGCCATCGATGCGCTTCGACCTGCAATCGAAGAATCTGCTGAACAGTCCACCACCCCCGCTCAACACGCCCACGGTGAGTGCCCCCCCACCCCACCATTGTTGCCTACAATAAGTATATACATATATACATACTCGAATTTATGTATGATTGTATGTATATTTAACATTCTGTCCCATCGGACAATGACATTGATGCAGAGAACAATTGAGTAGTGCTTGAAATGGGATTGTGAAATCAGAGCTCCGTCTGTGATTCCCTTTGAATTATGCATATTATACGAGGAGAGAGCGAGCGAGCGAGCGAGTTAATTGTACTCGACTTATCCACGTTGAAATATGAATAATTCACGAATTCGCGCTCCAAACTTCGCGCGGTTCAAGGGCAAGCAAACACTCGTATTGATTTGCCTGCATTAATGTCGCTAATCTAACAAAAACTTGCATTGCGAAACTCTAACTAAAACCCATCAGAACCATTCATACTTGTATGTAAAAGTGGCAAAAGTATTGTTCCTAATTGCATAATTGATGCGCAGTCGAAGACATACGTAGCGAAACAGTGTTGTTAATAAAACCCTACTAAAACCTATCTATAATTAATTGTCGTTAAATGCAGTTTACCACCGCGCCCGAATACGAAACGGTAATTAAATCCATAATATGGCATACCATACAGTATCGTAGCGTAGAGTGAAAGTAACCAAAAAACAAATTCGAATAACTCGAAATATTGTAAAATTAACGCACACACACACACACACGCACACAATCGTTGAATAAATAATTTGATTTTGTTTGCTGGTCAATGAAAATATTTCTAATTAGCGAAATTGCATTTTGAGTTCTGTTGCACACGGAACAATTGGTGTAGTTTGATTTTCTGCTTTTGTCTCTCTCTCTGTCTCTCACTCTCTGTGTGTTTTTCGCCCACCCACCCATTGGCGGTTTTGTGTTCTCATTCGACCAATCCAATGGAGACTTAGACGAGACGATTGTCTTTTATCCATATTGAAAAACGTTTTATATGTACCTACCACTATATGTGTATGTGATGATTTTGCTTTTTAACTAGACGCTTCTTGATTGAATTTTTTTTGTCATTTGTTTTTTTGGGTAATCGTTGAAGCTTTGTTCTCAACGCATCTCCTATGAAAGCACAGATGTTGGGAGCTCAACTCCTTCTGTGTGTTTTTGGTGTTTGAATGCGAAACTTTCATTATTATTCACGAATATCTCTATTAAATTGAATATATTTTTGCCCCCAACCTACTCGGCTGCGTCTTCAAATCAAAATTAACGGGGATTACCAACGAAATGCCTTAAAATATGAAATTAAAATCACATTTCTAGTGGTATCCGCGAATGGTGAGTCCTGAATTTCAATTACGTAAGAATCGACCTTTGTGCTCCCGTCTTTATGAGTGTTTTACCCCAGCCCCAAGACAAGGAAGTTTCGCTTTAATTATTTTCTCTATCCCGTATTCCCCTTCCCCTTCCCCACCGACAGCATGCAGACAATTATTTGAAATATTTTACTATACATTACATCCACTTATCATTTTTGCGAGTCCTTCCCCCATTGTTGTTCAAACAATTTCTGGCTATTAAATTCTGTATTAATTGGATCTTAAGCTGCTTGACTTGACATAAATTCCGCATTAATTTCCTGACATATTTCCCATCTTCGCTGGAACAGCTCCGCGTGGCCGCACTGAACGAGCCCTCCGTCGGCGACCTGCAGGGAATCCGCGGCGCGGACTTTGCCTGCTACCGGCAGGGAAGACGAGCCGGCCTGCTGGGCACCTTCAAGGCGTTCCTCTCCTCCAGGTGAGTGGCACGTCGAGTGTGTCTTATCTTCTTCTAGATTTGTACGCGTATTAGCCGTGTTTTCGTGCTTAGTTTTGGCTCTGGCATTAAGCCTCCGCGCAATCCGAGCGCACAGCCTTGCAGCCGTGTTCGGCATCGCTCATACGCCACGTTGCTGAGCCGACACTCGGGAAACTCATTAGTTGGCGCATAATCTTGCTATCTGGGCGAGAGCTAAGGGGAACAGGGCTCAAAATATGAACAAAAGCTTCTGAAAACAATTTCGTGCAATTTATTTACACAGCGCCAGCTGAATGGGAGGCAAGAGAACTCCGGCCGGCAGGGAGGGGCTAAATATATGAGCGAAAAACATGAATAAATAAGCGAATGCAGGTGGTGCGGGAAACGCACGTAGCACCTGCCTGCAACTCAGACTTCTTTTGATGGCCGTTTTTGTTTGCTCGCATGTAATTGCCGCTATACCGTATGATGGCCACAACCTTGTAGTGATCCTTGTAGTACTAGCACATAAATGCTGAAACGCTGAATTTCGCCCACAGGGTACAGAACCTGGACTCCATTGTCCGTCCGGCTGACCGGGACCTGCCAGTGGTGAACACGCGCGGCGATGTGCTCTTCAACTCGTGGAATGGCATCTTCAACGGACAGGGCGGCTTCTTCTCCCAGGCGCCGCGCATCTACAGTTTCAGCGGCAAGAACGTGATGACGGATCCGCTATGGTAAGGCTGCTTACCATCAATCTATCTATCTATCAAAGAAGCAGCTGCTCACCATCTCTCCAACTGCAGGCCCCTGAAGATGGTCTGGCATGGATCGCTGCCCAATGGAGAGCGCTCCATGGACACATACTGCGATGCCTGGCACTCGAGTGCCCACGATAAGAGCGGTTATGCCAGCGATCTCGCCGGCCATAAGCTGCTCGAGCAGAAGCGCCAGCCCTGCGACGGCAAGCTGATTGTGCTCTGCGTGGAGGCCCTCTCTCAGGATCGGAAGCGGAAGAAGCGGGACGCCAGCGACAGGTAGTTACACGTGTACGAATTGGCATTATTGATTTGGCATTAACGTTTTATGGTCCGCCCAAACTTTGCTCATTATCCCCGTCCCCGTGCCCGTGCCCATTCCCATTCCAATCCCCCCCTGCCACAGTCACAGTCGCGGTCCCAGTCGCAGCCAGAATTTGGAGTTCCGCACAGCAGACGAGTATGCAGCGCATTTAGACGATTTACTGCTGTAAGCGGAGTCCCATGGAAGAACAATACCAAAACCATTCTCATACATAAAACAGGAACCAGCAGCGAAAACAGAACAAAAGGAAGAACAAGAACAAGGCAAATCACGGACACAGCACAGCACAGACATACCACACCACACCACACCCACATTAAATGTAAACGTAAATCATGGCCATGCATATAATCAGCGAATTCCAAACAGAAACCAAAAAGAGAATACTCAGACGACAGATGGAGGATGCATATAAATACATACAATATATTACACAAACGTACACGTTCGCGTACATAAATACTATTCGTAGGTAATACCTAATAATATACATATATTTCGAAATACGATACATACCATACATACATATATATATCAGAGATATATACATAGTATATCATGCATATGTACTTTATGTTCGGGACAAGGCAACAACAATTTTTGTACAAGCAGTAAAACGTATTCGTAGTTCGTAGTTTGTAATTTGTAATTTGTAACCTAATGTTAGCCCCTAAACTTGATAATGTAATTTTAGTAATTACGTAAGTTCGATCACAGAGCAAGGGCATCATCACTGGCATCACTACCAAGACGGAACAGCCCAGCCCAGCCCAGCCCAGAGGCCTCCAGGACCTGGACATACGCATTACTGGCCAAATTAGTCACCTACTTAGCTCGTACGGGATTGCACCACCCGGGGTAACATCCCGCATCCTACATATATCCCATATCCCATATCCCCACATGACTCTGTATATGCGTGTATAAATGTGTATTTTTGCCACAAGACTTCTAAGTGTGTGTAACTATAAGGAACCGATGGAAGGAACGAACGATACGAAACCGTTTTTTAAACAATCGCATGCATCCCACTCTAGCCCGTCTATAAGAACTTACTCGTACATAGGATATATACATACATACATACATACTTACAACTACTACGTATGTTTTATGAACGTGTTTTCTATACAGAGTCCTTCGTAGGTCAGAGATAGAGAGATTTTCTACAGTGTAGCGCGCAATTCAAACGAATACTCGAAGTCAAAGTTCGGATCCAATTTTTATATGCATCCGATGGGAAAAGTAAATTAAATTAAATTAAATTATATAGCCATTACCCAGCACACACACAAACAGAAACACAAACACAAATGCCTGCATATATCCGCAATTGTGTCACATATGTATGGAATATTCGTAAATTATTGAAATTCGAATACGGATACTTAACTAAATTCTAATTATAGTTAGTTACATAATTTCTTTTTGCATTTAATCAATGCATTTCCAACTAAAACATTGTAATGTAATTAAATGTAATTGTAACGACAGTTAAGGTAATAATTTAAACAAGAAACAACAAAAGCAAAACACAAATGGACGGTTAGATGGCAATGGAGTCAGCCAGAAGACGGCAATATAATACGAGTATATAAATATATATATATATTTAGTGAAATCAAAACTGAAGTGGAGAACAGAACAGAACCCTCTAGTCGTAAGCCTAAACTATGATAAATTATGATGAAATGAAAAGAGCATAACACAAATAAATGATAATATAACTTAAACAAATAATACGAAATAATAAAAAACTAAACTATCGAATGCACTGAAAATGGTTTTAATGGAGAGCATTCAAAGGGCAGATATATTGGATTCACACTCCTCAAACATGAACTGATATACTGATTGATTAACTGAAGTTTGGCATGGTTCGCTTTGAAGGTTAAAAGCTAACTATATGCGTAGTGTTATTGGTTTCGCGTATACCTTTGGACGTGAAATATTAATATCCATAAACACGCATTGATATGTATATATGGATAACCGGAAGCTGAACACTTCTGGCATTTCGACAAATCCCCTTTGGAACGAGACTGAATTGCTGTCTAAAATATTTGATGTGGCCCATACACATTTTTCACTAAATAAAAAACATTACGAATTCATCTATGTGGGCGAGAATGCCAAGAAATTACTTTGACTTTGATCAATATTTTTCATTTAACTTGGAATCAATTTTCATTTCCATACACAAATGCCACACAGACCGACCGGCAACAAAGCTTTTTACGCAGAGGGCAGAAAAAACAAAGAAAATGCTGCCCCATTCCACCGAATGAAAATGAACGAAAGTCTAAACCACGTGTACCTCTACCTGTACCTGTACCTGGAACTGTATCTGTATCTGTATCTCATCCTGTATCTGCATCCGTAGCCAGAGCGATGTTTGTCTGAGCCGCACGTTTGGTAAGCAATTTAAATAATTTTTCACTTGAATTAAAGCAAATGATTTCAAACAAAAAGAGCCGCGCGGTCCTCGATGCTCTGTGGAGCCATTGATGCTTTATGAATTTCAATGGCAAGCCAGCACATAGTTTCCCCCCCACATAGGGTGGGGAAGGGTCTCTGGATCCGGATTTGGTCGTTGCCACAGCGGCAAAACAGATACAGATACCAATAAAGATACAAATACAAATACATCTACATCTACAGATACAGATACTTATGCACGAGACCAGAGCGGCGCTGAGCCGGAGATGCGACTGTCAGGCAGGCCTGTCAGAAGCCAGCAAATAAGCAAACAAGCCAGGAAGCCAGAAGCCAGAAGCCGGGGAGTGCCAACAGTTGCGATTGGTCTTGGGATTGGCACTGGGATTGGGACTGGCAGAAGCCACAGTATTAGCCAGCAGCAGGAGCGAATGGGGAGGGCCTGGCAGGCGGATACGTCCGCACTTAGGCACAAAGCAATCAAACCAGATGAGCGGGATGAAATTTTAATTTAATGAATGAATACGAAAATGTTGTATTAGTTGATTAGCTGTGCGGCCAGAGAGAGTCGTAGATGGAGAGTTCGTGGTGAGCTCAGCCATAGCCTGGGTCCAGGCACCAACGAATAACTGGAAATTTTCAATTATAAGCCGTGCTGGAGGAAGTCTCTGGGTGGTCTCCGGGCAAGCAAACTTTTAAATTCCGTGTGCGGCTGACAATGTCATTCATCATAACACATTTAGCCGTGAGCTTATTAGATTCCACTTTTGTGCCCAAGCGCATTTACAAGTTTTCCGAGCTTGTTTTCCAGCTCCACACCACCCCGCTCCGCCGTTTCCCTGCCAAATTCACTGTGCTTTCTTTTTTTTTTTTTTATTGAAAGCTGAGCACAAAACAACCGACCAACAGCCAACTTTCTCCCAGCAAGCCACACAACTTACGCATCCAGCATCCGTAACAAGTTCTCCACACACACACCGCACACACACACACATGCAGGGGCTGGCAAACACACACAAACTCACACACGTACACACACACATATGTCACGGATAAAAACAATTTATCATTTAGCTTATCAAGACGCGCGGCCTAACGTCCATTATTCTGCGGACGCAACGCAGAGAATTGTTTTTTGATGATAGCCCCAAGCCTCGTTGCTCCCCATAGCCCCCCCCATAGCCCCTGTACCACCACAGAGCAGGGCCAACAAAAATAGCAAATGTCTGAGAAATGATTATTGTTCTATTCGGATGTGATTTACAATCTATCACAGCTATAGGGTCGGGGTTTCGAATTACCCGAAATTATGAATGGGTTCCAATCAAAATAGAATACTCGAAGGAGTAACCTGTTGGGATGAGTGGCAAGAAGAGAGAGCCTGCATATTATATTTGTGTATTCAACATTCTCTGGATAGAATAGAAGGCACCTGGACCTTTGAGAATAACTATACTCGCTGCGCCACAAAATATGGTTTATATGGCTGGCAAACTGAGAGTCCCCTCTCTTTTTGTGCGTGGATATGCTAGAATAATAAAGCATATATTTGTATGCATTGCGTAGCATAATTTTAAATGTTATCAGCAGCCAAACAGCAAGTAATCCTCACAATTACAGCGGACAAATAACAGGTACACATACGAGTACGAGCATGGGGCGAATAGGGAAAAAGAAATGGAGACTGCTGGGCCGTCTAACGTGTAACTAAAAACCAACAATTATGCATGCCAAAACCGCAGAAACCAATGCAACGCCCACAGCCCTAGCGACGACAACACGGCAGCGACAGCGGATCGGAATTTGCATAACTTTGTATGAGATTCTCCAGCGCAGAGCCACAATATCGTTCATACATGCATGCCGCTCACACACACACACACACACACACACATACAGACCCATCCTATACACACGCGCAGACAATGTCAGTGAGCCGTCAACATTTCAACTTGTCATGCGAGCAGTACCACTGCAGTGGTACAGGCACAGTGGCACAGGCAGTGGCAGTGGCGCGCACACACAGACACGGTCCCAGAGAGAGAGAGTGAGAGAGGAGAGGCATGCTGAAAGTCGAAGACGTTGCCCCAGGCTGCTACATGGCCTACCTTCAATTTGTCGGTGCTCGGTGCTCTGTGCTCTGTGCTCTGTGCCCTGTGCCCTACGCTCTGCCATCCGATAACCACGAGGGTGGAGCCGGGGGTAGGTTTGGGGTCGGGCACTATGCCACGGCTTGTGTTGCATACTTTGCTGCGTTGCTGGCAACGAACGTATTATTTCAGTTACGTTTTGCGGAAATGCAACTGAAAACTTGCAATTTGTTTGACGTTTTGGTATTTTTTCGTATGAATTTATAATGCCCTCGACTTCAACACCTGTCGTTTGCTGTTTGTTTCGTTCGTTCGCTGGCTGTTTGTTTGTTTGCTTTCCTTGGGTTTTGCTTGTTGGTTTCTGCTGATTTATAATGCAGACGGGATCCTCCTCCGATTTGGCTCCTGCCATGTGGTTTATTGATATATCAGCGGCATCATGATTAGGCAACAGTCAGGAAATGCGCGCTTAGATATAGGAACTCTCTCTCACTCTCTCTCTCTCTCTCTCTCTCTCTCTCTCTCTAACACATGCGTATTTATGTTATGCCGCCGCAGTAACATACAAAAGGTAGCAACTTTTAATTGAAAAACTTGAGCACTTACAACTTGCGAGGCAGCGACTCGACGACTCAGTGACTCTCTCTCTCCCTCTTCATCTATTAGCTGTTGCAAGCGCAGGTGTAGGTGTGGGTGGGGCGGGGCGACACTGCGCCAAGTGGCAAGTGGCAATGCCAGCATTGTCACCGGCATTACTCGAGTTGTTAGCCGTGTTTACAGACACAATAAGCAAATACGTATACGCCAGGCGATACTGCTGACTGCTGACTGTTGTTCGCGGGCAGGTTTAGTAGACTTAAAGACGATATCGTTCTGTTTGCATAGAAAGTTTTCTGTTCTCCCGCCCGCCGCCCGCCGATGCACAGTTAAGTAAAGTCTGGCAGCGGAACGTGCGGATAAGTTTTCCATTTTGTTGCCGTGCAAATATTTGCAACGGTAACTGCCAATGGCCCTGACAGCAAAACTAATTCAAATCGCTGCTATTCCGCGCTAATTAAACTATCTGGGATCATCGCTGGGCGCAAATAAAACTATCGAAACAAATGGTTTAAAATGCTTAACTTTTAATTAGCAGGCGAGGCGCTTCGGCAGCCAAATGCATAATTCAAATTATGATTTGGCTTTTCGGGAACTAATCTGTTTTGGCCGAATCGTAATTGGCAGACGGAAATTTCATATGCAAATTGTATTAGGTGTCAGGGGAGAGCTGCTGCCCAGTGGCCTGCAGCAGCAGTGCTGGGCCAACCATCCAGCATCCATTCAACCACACCGATTATCGAGTGCCACAGCAGCAGCAGCAGCAGTCCCTTGCATAAGCGAGCGGCAGCTAACGCCCCCGAAAGCCACACGGCCAGAGCCCCAGTTCCAGTATATCATACAAGCCATAAGCCTATTAATAGCCCCTGTCTGCGATCAGACAAGCAATTAAAATTGACTGCACTTTTGAGCGGATGCCGGGTCTGGGTCTGGGTTCGGTGCCAAGCCCCTCCGGCCCCTCCGCTCTTTCTCCGGCGCCTTTTTCACGGCACATTGTTCAATTGGGCTTAAATGTGTTGTCGTCATCGCCACGTGCACGTGCTCCTGTTCCAGTTGCTGCCACGGCCAACCAGCAATTATTTATGACCTAGCTGGCGCGTCTGAAAACATAAATTTTTACCGGCAAATGCCTTGTAATTTGGTACAATGTGTGGCCGCTGGCTGGGCAGGTGACAAGACAGGAATTTGATTTGTTTTCTATGAAATACGAGGGCGTCTGCTGCATGCCCAACAAGTATACGCCGGGTGTGAGCTCCTGCATAAATAAAAGTGGAACTCTCTTAACTTTTAACTTACTTAATTACTTTGAGCTTTTGTTATTTGCACGAAACGGAGCTTTTATGTACCCAAAAGGAAGCTTAAGGAAAAGAGCTTTCAAAAAACAGCCAAGTCCTTGTTCTGAAGCAAACTTAAAAGCACTTCCTTGCAGATAAAAGCTGAAGCATTCGTTTCCTTGGCTTGCAACCCAAAGGAGCTTTTATCTGACAATCAAAAACACATTTAATATTTTAAATTGTATTTAATCGTAATGTAATTCAATTCAATTGCAATATAATGTACATAATATGTTATTAAATAATGCAACTCCAAAGCATTAAAAAGTTAGCTTCATGGTTAATCGTAAATCATTATTTTTCAAGTTTAAAGAACAATCGCCAGAATATATTCTGACCCTAGCCGTAATAATAATTTAATTAATATTCTTGCACTTTGGCCCAACGCGAAAATTGTAAATATTTGCACTTTGTAATTAATATAATATAATATAATATAGTATGGTATAATATATAATATGTATGTATATATGTATATATATTTTGGTTGTTAAGGGTATTTAAGGTATTCGCCTAAAATATGCTTGAAGTATCCAATAACTCGTATGTTTATTCTTGTTTTTGGTTGGCATTTATATTCATGCCATTGTTATGTTCCTCTTTTGTATAGCTACATTTAAAGTTTGGTCTTGGTTTCATGCCGGTAATGAAACGCATATGTTTTTTTTTTTTTTTTTTAAATTCCATTATCGATAATACTTTGATAAATGTTAAACTCGCGAAAATTGTTGCTGTTACTTAGGTTAGGTTACTGGTACATTGAAACTCGAATTTGCTAAACTTCCTACCGCAGCTGTTCCCTACCGGACCGTCCATCCATCCATCCACGTGTACTGGACGTTGCGCAGTCGAGAACAGATCTGATAAATTCGGTTTAACGCTAAAAGTGTTTACATTTTAGTATGTATATTTTGCTTTGTAAGTATTTTGCACATTCTGCAATATATGTAGTTAACTATATAGTTTAGGCTAGGTTCGCTTTGATCGGTGTACAAGTGTTACAGTAGAGTTTTTTCTGCTAAATAGTTGGTCAAGATTTACTCTCTAGATTCGGTGTGCTTCGGTTACAGTTTTTTGGATGATATGCAATCGTCGGTAGAGTATCGAGTATTATAGAGAGTGGAGAGCGCAGTGTATGACAGAACACAACAATTTTCAAATATCCAAAAAATTGCATCTTCAACAACAATTAACAATAACAATTAAATAATTATTCGATATCAATTCGTGTAAATTCAATTGGTTTAATCTAAAATTAAATTGGATAACTAACACTTTCGAATCCCACAATTCCAAATACGTTTTCACATTATTGTCCTCTGCTGTTTTTTTTTTTTTGTTTCCTTTTTTTGTTGGTTTTTGTTGGTGCGTCAAGTAAATGTGCAATCAGAATCACCAGCGCTACATTACAATTCAAATCGAAAGTGGAAAATTTATTGTGTAAATCAAAATGAAAATGGAAATGGAAAAAAGAGAGCTTCAAGTGCACACGAGCATTCGGCGGAACAAAGAGGATAAGGATGCTCGGAGAGGTGAGTGGATGGGTGGCTTGGAATGGAATGGAATGCAGTCCGCGAGTCAGTGACTAATTATGCATGGCATAGCTGTTATATAATACGCTCTGCTTGCTCTGCTATGTTCACAGTAGTACGATAATGATTGCGAGTAAATGCTAAATGCATTTTTAATTAATTAATAGATCAAACACAAACACTTCTGGCCCTCTACTAGTATTTACAGCATAATATCGAAATCACCCAAACGCTGCGTTTATAATTAAATACGGCATGGCCATGCATGGCCGCCAGTCCGTCCGGATCCCGCTTGGATCCCGCTCATACTACTATCACACCGCTCTGGTGTCTACATCAGAGCGCAGCGGTTCCAGCGGGAGTTGGTGCGCACGCTCTCGCCCTCGTTGAGGGCCATCGTCTTGGACCGCATCAAATTCAGGTCCGTGCGGATGCTGGGCCGGCGCGCGTTGGGCGTGACCACACCGCAGGCGTCACTGAACCGCCGCTTGATCGAGAGGGCATTCTTCTTGGTGCCGCCCACAGCGGATCCGTGCGGCGGCAGAGGCGAGGGCGCTCCGAAGACGGACACCAGCCGTCGATGGTGGTTCGGCGTCATCTCCAGCGGCAGGTTGGAGACCATGAACAACGCATAGAAAAGATCATCGATGCGATAGTTCTGGCGCGCCGAGCACTCCACGAAGGTGCAGCAGTTGTCCTGGCCAGCGATGTAGCCCATCACCTCGTCCAGCTGCACGGTCCTGTGGGGATACCGGAAACACACACATTAATCTACTATGCGAGTATGTATATTGCCTTGAACCCCTTGGTTAACTCACTTGAAATCACGATCACACTTGTTGCCCGCCAGTATCATGGGTATCTTCGGTAGACTCTTCTTCTTGAAGCCCGAACCGGGGTTGAGGGCCGCCCACTTGGTCTCCAGGATGTTCTCGCGAAGTCGCACAACCTCTTCGAAGGACTCGCGGCTATCCATGCTGAAGACGAGTATGAAGAGATCCCCTGAAAGCGTAGCCGCAGCCCATAAAATGAACATTAATCGTCGTTTGATTTAGCAAATGCAAATTTATTGCTTATTTACGGTCTCACATCTGTGACCTACGCACTCGCAATTTCCCAGACACTATATAAAGCGCTTCCCGAAGCACCAGAAGCTCATCTCCGCTATGCTAATACTCGTTCGTATGTATATACATACAATATATGTGTTTATGAGGTGGTCTTGGTGGGGGGCAGTGGGACGGATGAACGAAAGAGGGCAAGCCAATAGCTGAAAGCCACTGATACATCAATACCCTACGTGCTCTAATAAATAACACTGAGACTATATATACATTGAGATTAAAAGTAGTAAAGGTAAATGCGTGATATTTCGCGAATCGGTGAGCCAAAGTGTATCTTCTGTAGCCATGACAATTGTTTTTGCACACAGCTGATAAGGCAACAGCAGCCGCAGCCCGTAGCCAAATTCATCCAAATCAAAGGGTATATTTGGAAACTTTCGCTTGCCAGCAGATGGGGCTGATTTTGATGATAATTTATGGGACATTAAATAGCGCCCGATGAAGGCAGTCGACGACTTAAGCGATGAAACGTGCGTCTCATACGATTGCGGTGAGCCCACACACACACACGTACAGCTTCCATAGACACCATTGACACCAATGGACACCCGATTATGGTGGACTGTGTTGGGTAGGGTGAGTGGTATGTGGTATGTGGTGAGACCTACCAGTTAGAAATGACAAACGACGCATTGCGGGAAACGGATGATAGCCAGAAGTATCCAAAATGTCCAATTGAAAGACCTCGTTTCGTATGCGATACAATTTGCGATGAAACTCCTCGATGGTCGGCGTGTATGCCTCCTCGAACCGATTGCCCAGGAAACGTGCCACAATCGATGACTTGCCGGCGCGTGATGAGCTGCAAAGCGACAGATTGGAATGGAAATTGGAAATTGAGATGGAGGTTGAGATTGAGATGAAAGTGGAGAGTGGACAGCGGACAGTGGTCCATTCTGAATATACATACCCGAGCATGACCAGTCGGTAGCAGTTCTTGGCCGAGGGCAGGCTATCATCGCACAGTGATAGGCCCGCACCGGGTCCGTAGATGAAATCGTCCGCCTGCTCAATGGCATCCAGATTGGAGTGATGCTCCAGCATGTGGGCCTGATGCAGTTCGGCCGTGGTCACTATCCGGCTGCTGGTTACGGTGCCGTTACTGCCGCTTGCCGTATCATCCAGAAAGGTGACCACATGAGCGGCACCAGCACCAGCACCGGCTCCAGCTCCGGCTCCGGCTCCGGCCTGTGGTGACGATGCCTCATCGGCGTTGGGTGTGGCCCTGTTCGCTGCTGCGGTGGCGTTTGTCTGTTGATTGCTTTTGATCCTGCCACTGCCGCTGCCACGGCCACTGCCACGGCCACTGCCGCTCCTGCTGCTGCTGCTGTTGTTGTTGTTGCGTGCGTTGCCGATGCCGATGCCAAAGCTATTAGCCGTAGCTGTGCCCGTGCCCGTGCCCGTGCCTGTGGCTGTGGCTGATGTGGATGAGGGTGCTGGCAATGTTCCCGGCTCGCTTAGTGCAACATCCGCGTAGTTGTTGTTGTTGCTGCGCGCACAAAACCAATTTTTGCAGCGATACATTTTGACTGTGTCATTTCCGCCACTTTAATGGATGTCGTCGTGGGCTCCGTAGGTGGGTTAATTGTCTGCCTCGGTGGTGCGATGGTGCGATACGCTTTGCACTTGATTGCTTGTTTTCTGTGCAGCTTTCGAAAGTCAGTTGCGGTTGCCACTGGCACTGGCACTGCCACTGTCGTGCCTCTGTGAAATTTGCATTTTCAATCACTCAACTTTGCAGTTAACAGGCTGACATTTGCATATGTTGTACTAACTCTGAACGATTCCTGCTGCCTTAATGCTATATAAGTTAGCCCTTAGACCGCCCTGAGTCGGATAAAATGCATTAGCCACGTCTGCTCCTTCAGCTGCTGCTGCTGCTGCTGCAAAAAAAGAGAGAGAGAGGGATGTAAAACGTAGAAATGCATTCAGCTCGTAAATATAAAAAAGTTACGCCAGCTGCTAAAAAGGATGGAGCCTGATGGAGGATGGAGCCTGATGGAGGATGCAGCCTGATGGAGGATGCAGCCTGTTGGAGGCTGGAGAGTGAACAGGCAGCAGGGGAACCAAACATTTCGGAGGCCATTAAGCACGGTAATTGCCCCAGGCCCATTCCAGGCGAATAAACCACATAAAGCGCACGGAAAGCAGGCAAATGCATCACTTAAAGCATCCTCGACTAGCATATACCCGGCAGTTGGGCTGGCAGCCGAAACGGGATCATATGCACAGCTGGTCTGTAAAGTGGGCCAATGCCGTACCCCAAAATAAAAGAATAAGCCAAGTTCCGAAGAAGTTCCATGCGATTTTTATCGAGAGTTCAGTTAAAGTTACAAAATGTTGCTCAGGTGCAGTTGATTGTAAGAAGAAAACTTCTAGGAAACGGAAATAAAAACCAATTTGGTCTGAAGAATATATTTTGAAGGAGATATCTGCTATATAAATATTATCCAAAAGATATTCCCTCAGCTTAGACTGGAAAATATCTCCCAGACCTGGTTCGGTTTCAATTCAAAAATCCCGCCGAACCAGGCCAATCAAAGCCATTTTTATGAATAGAAAATTAAAAAAATTAGCTGCACTTGAAGCATTAAAAGGGCTAAACCTGCTGCTGCAGCTACTCCTACCCGACCCGACCCGACCCGTGCCCCTTATCGACCGATAATGGGCATCTTGCCGCAAATCTAATTAACTTTGTTTCAGCATGCTACGTGCTCCGTATACGTCAGCCGGAATGGCTACATTGGCTCAGCTCATGCAGCACAGCAGCACAGCAGCCCGGCGAGTGGGGCACAGGGAGTAGTGGGGTACAGCAACGGTAGGGAAATCAGAACGGAGACCGGAAAGTGCCGTTACCGCCGTTTGGGTGCTCGACACTGGCCATAATCGAGTGCACCAAGTGCTCTCACTCGTGCTCAGATTTCAGCACATTTTTCTCATTTTCGTGCACTCCTTTTTTCGCAACGATGCCATGCTGCACGTTCGCCCGTTTCTCAGTGGGTCTTTAAGTGCCAGCTCACAAAAGGAATTCGAGTGGAAAATTTGCAAGAAAAGAATCCACCGCATATTATTACGCACACAAGTGCGGGCAGGGCAGGGCAGGGCAGGGGTGGCGTGCGTTGGCGTCGCACATGAGCACAAGGCGACACCCACTCGTATCGGAGTCCCCAAGTCCGAGCTGAAATTTGAGCATTTTGGGGCACTGGCAACAAGGACCATTCATTTATCGCAACTACTGGTAATTTTTCCATAATTGATTTTGGCTTTTTGTACGGCTCGTCCTTTCAACCGCCTTCGCCTTCGCCTTGGCCTGTGTGTGTGTGTGTGTGCTCTGTGTGGGAAAGCGCACAAATGACTTTTCGCCCTCGCAAAAATGGCAGCGGAAACGCCTTGAGACAATGGCGGCATTTGCGGGGGCAAGAACAGGAATGCCACAATGCCAACAAGGAATAATCAACTAAATGACGTCGCACTTTTGTTATTTGTTGTGCACCTGTGCAGGAGGCCATGTTACTACTACAGGGGCGCGCATCCCCCAAGTCCAAAAAGGGGATAAATTCGGAAGAAGTTTGGGAAAACTTCGATGCCTTTGCACCTCACCAAACGCATAATTGAAAAACACATTCAATTCAAAAGTATTCCCTTAGTATTCCCGATATCTCTTGGACACTGTTTCGTTAAGTTACCGACTATACGAGCTACCTCTCTGTTAAGCTTTAAAATAAATTACATTTTTAGAATTCTATAAAACAAATGCAGCCCATTTGTTGCTGTTGACAGATTATGGCACTTAGGGTGTAGGTTTTGCGTTTGACAAGTGACAGAGTCCATGCACGTCAACCCCCTAGCTGCCCCGCCCCGCCTCTGGACACAACTGTGCTCGTAAATGTGCCTGCTGTTGCCGTTGCCGTTGCCAGAGTCTCTACTATTTCTCATATTTGTTTACAATTCGCGCATATAAATGCGCAAGTTTGTCACACGCCCTCTACCCACCCGACACCACCCCACCCCCCGCCGTGCAGCATCCGATGTGCCATAAGTTGGCATGTGGCAAGCGGAACGAGATGCAATCGACACCTAATCTGTAGGGTACATCTGGAGAGGCACTGAGTGGCAGGGCGAAATCCGACAAGTTCAGTTCAGTTCAGAATCGAAATGAAATGAAATGGCAGCGGGACAGCGGGACGGCGGGCCAGAGAACGGAACCGCAACCGCAGCGAGCATCAATTACCCGAGAACATTGAGTGATAATCGAAGTGGGGTTATCTCGTCCACCACCCGCGGCGAGCACAGAGAGCACGCCATCTCAGTCGCGTTTCGGACAGCCCGCGGGACGGACCGATTGAGACTTGGGTCGTGGGCAATGGGAATGGATCGAACTTCGAGCAGCAGTGTGGCAGAACTTGGCGCAGCAGATGGCGCGGGGGCCAAGGTGGCGGACCATCAAGATTACGCCGAGGCCCTGTCCCTCGCCAGCCGGCGTCGCAAGCGGCGATGGAATATTCGCTCGTGCAGCACCCTGGATCTCTTGAGTGTGGCGGCTGTCGTCCTCGCGCTGCTGCTCATCTTAGGCGCCATTTACATGCACTTAAAACAGAGGTCCCATCTGGGGCGCTTGCACATCCCTCGGCGGGAGAAGGGGAAGGAGCTGCTGGACGCGAAGGCATTGTCCATTTCGCTGGATGTTGCAGCTGGCGTGGGTAAGTGGCGAGTGCTCCCAACGCTCTTACTGAACACTTTTCGAACACTTTTCCCTTATCAGATACTTTATTGCGACGCTAACAGCTGATCTCTCCGCTCAGAAATTAAACGTTTCAATCTATGAAAATAATATAATAATAATAATAATTAGTGTTTGCCAGGCAGACTTTAATCTGACATCGGCGAAGCTGGGAGCACATTCTGTTAGCTAATTCTTCTCGTTATTATTCCAATTAAATACACATCCCCCCCACATGACTGGCCTTGCCCAAAAAGAGGCATAAAGGAGCAGAAACCTTGTGAAAATGTTCATAGATCGATTGCCTTTAGCTATTGCCAGAGTATCCAGCCCAGAGTACGAGTCAATGTGCGGTCAAGCGTTTTAATTAACTTGGCTAATGGTTTCGCTTACTTCTAAACTGTGCATTTTCCAGCTGCCCAGAGCATAACTACAGTCCGGCCATCGCTGCTGGAGCCGAGCGAGGACTGCCTGCCATGCATCGCAGTGGCCGCCACAGACAATCAGGCAGCAACGTGCGGGGGCATGCCGTGCGGCATCTATCGCATCTCATGGCTGTACTGGATGGACGCCCAGGGGACTAGTGACCCGGACAACCAGCCACTTACGCAGGGTAATGCAGACTCTCATTTGACAAACGGCCGCAGACCACGCTCTAACCTCTAACCCGATGCTTCTCCGTTCCCGTTCCCGTTCCCCAGCAGACTACGAGGGCTGCGTGCCAGTTGCCAGCTGCGCCGAGGGGCTTGTGCGCAGCTATGTGAAGCGTTTCGGCTATGACTGCGATGGAGATGGCCTGATTGGGTGTCGGGATCACGTAATTCTGCACCTGAACGGACCCACGGGCTGCCGCATGGGAAAGCCCCTATCCGCCCTCGCCGAGCGACGAATGAATAAATGTTTTTCCAAAAAAGACCTTCAGTAGAATGGCTTCCATGCGTGTATTTATTAACGTGAAGTGGGTGGGGGGGGCCATGCCATTCAGTTGATTAGTTGAGACCAATTCAAGGGGTTCCATGTGGTCATTGTTGGTACATGGTCCATCTGGGGTCGCCAGTACAGGGTCAGCATGAACAGAGCCACGAATTCGTAGAACAATAGGAGGGCCGCGTACTTGTCATCGGCGAGCTCGGCCTCGGTGCTTCTGCCGCCCATGATGCACTGCACATGATACATTAGGAACTGCAAATGACTCGTGAGTATGCGAATGCAAGGGACAGGCAAAAGAATAATGGAATAATGACACAATGCGGTTCTTACCGCCACCACCATCATGGTAAAAAGGAATGCGAAGATGTAGTAGGACCAGTCCAAGCCGATGACTTCATAGAACACAACGCAGTAAACGCTCAGCACAAAGACGCTCATGAACAGAATTAAGAAGAATATCCCGCCCTCGGTAAGGTCACACTGCGTGGGAGGGGAATGGGTCACAGATTGAGGATGCTTCAGACATTCACTCACCGGCATAATGGCTGCCAGCAGCGTGAAGATGACGACTACCAGTGAGACGATCAGAAAGCCGGCCAGCAGATACAGCAGATCCGTGTCGACGATTAGCAATGCCAGAGGTTGCACCATAAACTCCACCTGGGGAAGAGACCCAGACAATACGCTGCAGGGCGCCGTTGATGCCATGTACAGTGTACACTCACGATAACCAGCGTCGTCAGCCAGTTCAAGAAGCACAGGTTCCTCATCTGACGACTGAGCGAGAATAGCAGAAATAGAAAAATGCCCACGACAAATGCCAGAATGAGGGCTGCCGAATGCTTGCGCACCAGCCAAACGGTCCAGGTGCTGTCAATGGGGAATGGGGAATGGGGAGCATTACAAACAGATGGATTTTCCGCTGTTCAGCTTACTCCAGTACGGTTATCATGAAGATCCAGTGGAAAAGACCCATCAGCAAAAAGAGCACAAACTGCAGGTAAACCTTTACAACGAATCGCCGGCGATGTTGGGGGTTGGTCGGTCTGAAGGGCCAAAAGTGTCTTCCCGTTTGAAACATGGCGAACGTTCAATTTTCTGACATAAAATGCCAGAGCTACTGACGCTCGCCGAGCTGAGCAATGAGCCTATACAAAATTAATGCTGGGCCGGCCGGCCAGCTTCCAGCTTCCATTTCCGCTGCCTCCGGGCACTAATTGCACATGAAAATGGGCCGCCAGAAAGCGAAAAGTTTGCTCAGCAAATTGGTACACACAATGCTCTCGATGCGGCGTACATAATTGAACTCGACAAAAGTTTATAATCTGGCAGCATCGCGCGTAAATTGAACAACAAGTCTCAAGTGTGTAATAATTAAAAGTTTTCGCAAATGTAGCAGACAAACAATGAGAGCATAGCACCAAAGTTTGTACAAGTTTTAAATCATTTAGCAGCAGATCGGACCGGGGACTGTGTCGGACTAATTGCTGCCATGTTACATTAATTTGCAGCAAACTTGCCACTGCATCTGGTCCCCCATGCGTATGCGCAATTCGTTCACGAGTACCCAGTCTGACAGGCATTCTGTTGGCAGTTTGGCCGAAATTATTAGACCCGTTCTTGTTGCAATTTCTAACTACATACATGACAAAAGCAGTTAATATATAATTAATGAATATTAGTTTGTTTGTTGTATTTTTTATGTTGATATGTTGCGCAAAAAGCACTTGAAGCATGTACTCATAAAATGAGGGCTCAAGGAAGGTAGATAAATGCACCTGCTGGATCTATAGATATATTTTAGTCGATTAGTAGACTTGGCAGCTGAATATAAATACTGAAAACAAATATTTATTTAAATCAAGAGAGATTTTCTCAAACAGTCAAGTCGTATATCGAAATCTCTGACAACTTTCGTCTATGAGAAAACTTATGGCAATAAGCTCTACTGGCACTGCAACCAACTCAACCGTATCAAGTGCCGTGTTCGGCTCTACACGGTCGATGACCAAGAACAGCCACAACCAACCCCCACCTGTCAATCTAGTGGGTAATGGAATAGATCTACCTAATGCTAACATTTAAACTCTGTTTGTATGATCAATTCTTCCATAATAAATAAATGTACAATAAAATAAAATTTAATCTAAAGAGTTTCATAGTGTATGTATTTAAATTTTAAGGTTTCATGCTACACACTCCATGAGTACTTGCGCTAGCCGCAGTGTTGGGCCCAGCAAGCTCGTACTCTCACACTCTCGCACTCGCTATTGCTGGCTGGGGGGCCCGGCCCTAATCATTCTATTGCATGCCAAGTGTATATAACTTTATTCAATCAAATGTGCAAATGGCGCATAATGCAAACAGAAATAGTCCAAATGAGCAGACAAAATGGGGACAACAGGATAGCGACAGTTGCGTTGCGTTTCGTTCATTATGGTCCTTCGCTGAGGCGGACAGAGGCTGACATGCAAGGCGGCTATATACATATATACATATACATGTACATATTGTATTTATTGGAGATATCGAGCGATTCAGATAAACATTGCTTGATTGTTTGATTGATTGGGGGCGGGCTGGGCGACTGAATTGAGGGTGGGAGTTGCCACGGCCAAGGACAAAGAGTTTCATTTAAAAACAATTACGCATTCGGTTGAGCAGCTCGGACAACACAACAACAACAACCAACAACGAACACGAAGCGTCCGTTGATACTCGAATTTTTCCTTTTCACTGGGCCATGTCAAAGGTGTCGCTCAGGTGTGGCTGGGGGCGGGCAGGGGATTTCCTCGAAATTGATTGCTTTATTGCAGCAGACAGACGGCGAGGCGGGGTGCAGAGGATCTGTGCAAAATTGATGGAATGCAGTGCAAGTTTTCATAAGAATTTTTAGGTGCACACGAAAACTTTTGCTTGGGAACTTTTTCAGCTGGATTCCGGATTAGTTAAGCTCTGCCCGGGGTCGTCTGTCATCTATCGTCTCTCTCTGCATCTGTCTCTGTCTGTGTCTGTGTCCGGGCCTCTGTATCCTCTCCGCCTGCCCCTCGTGTGCCTCATGAGTTTCCAGTGCTCCGCCTGCTCAGCTTGTTTGCATTGCCAATGCTGCCAGCCAGCGAGGCGGAGGTAAAGTCAAATGAAAATGTCAAAAAAGAGTACCATACTTTGCTGCCAGGCTAACAGCATTTACTAAATGAAATTTACATGCCAGAGTCAGAGTCAGAGACAGAGGCAGAGGCAGAGATAGAGTCAGTGTCAGGAAAAAAAGGCAAACGAAGACGAAGCAAAAGGCACAGGGAAAGGGTTCAGCTCTGAAAGGGTTCTCTGTTCTTCATTTGCCTCGAGCTCCCCCCAGCAATCAAAAGTGTGCCACATAATTAAGTGTACATCAGAGATTAGCCACCGCATTCAACAGAATCGAGGGCAGGCGCTGTCCCGCAGGGGCACTGTCCTTGTAATTCACGACAGGCGAACGCGGACACTGGGACTGCGACTGGGACTGGGAATGGGACTGGGAATGGGCTGCCTTTGTGCGCATACTTAAATAGACATTGGCAGCGACATGACCTACAACTGTTCCAGCAAACCGCTTTAATGTCTCTGTTATGGCTGCTGGCTAAAAGCCGAGCCGCTTCATTAATTTTATTGCCGCCCTAGCGCTCGGTCTTTGCTCGGCATTTTGCAGCTTTGCCGTGGACTGCTTTTGTCGTTGTCTCTGCTTTGAAGTTTCTTTGGTTGCGGCAAAAGTTTTGATTGTCTAGCCACACACTCACATGCCACAAATACGCTTCGCATGCCACAGCCACTGCCACAGGCAGAGCTTCATGTGAGTGCGAGTGCGAGTGCGATGCGGATGCGATGCGGATGCGATGCGGATGCGTGTGTGTCTGCCCACTCAAGTGGTTAAACGTAAAACTTTTTTAATTAGAGTTGTTTGTGGGCAGCGCATTGTGTAAACAATTCTCTTTCGATCATCTTGGGCGAATAGTTCCGTTCCGCAGGCACAATGCACCCTCCGCCGCGGCCGGCCAAGCAGGAATTTCACGGCGGAGCAGCGAAGCTGCCATAATAGCTCGCAAGCCAAAATAAAATTCATGAGCCTTTGTAATAAAAGTGTCACAGCGCGATGCAGGCTACAAAAGGCAGCCGCGCCGCCATCAACCGAGTGGAGCCTGATGGAGATGGGTGTCGTTGGCGGGGGAAGCACTCCCCAGCTGTCAGCGCCATCGCTGGCAATGACAATGGCCTTACCCTCCAGAGAGGAGGCATAAATTTGGCAGACATCTTTTGTAAGTGGGGGTCCAAGGCCCAGCCGAAATTCAAATTCAAATTCAAATTTTCCCAGCCCGTTTGCATTTATTTAATTTTACTATTATCAGAATGAAAAGGCTTTGCGCCTGATTAGAGCTCGCCGCTCCCCTAAATGTGTTTTCCCAAATTAAATGAAAATCAAATGACGCCTAGCCAGCGTAAACCTCCATTGACACAACATGCAAATCTAATTTGAGTTCGCCATCTTTTTATATTAATGAAAATGAAAATTTTCTATGTCCTGTGCTCCAGGGGTGTCCGTCCGCACACACCATGCACCACCAGGCACCGCCATTTGCACGCTTCCCCAGGCCGTCAAATATCCGCAGGATGTGTCTGTTGCTCCGCTCTCGCCTCTCGTCTGTCAATGCGATTTTGTCAACGCAATCACCCAGCGAAGCATCGGCGAACCAGCGAACCAGCATCGCAGCTCCATCGAAATATTTTACATTTTGCTTTTGTTGTTTTTTTTTTTGCCAATTTTGTGGCTGATGCTCTTTTGCTTCCGCCAATCCACTCGCTCCACAGACATTCTGGCTCAAATATTCGCCGCTCAATATACCGTTTGCATTATGCCATACGAGCATGTATGGGCGACCATATCGCCGATTTGCGTATCAATGAAGAAATCGCCTTTATTGCACATTTTTCCATGTGCACCACGTGGCGTATACGCATTATGGTCACATTGCCACTTACAGTGGGAGAAGAGTTTTTATCGTTTCGCACATTCAGTGCTACCAGATTGCTCCCATACACACATTGCGGATAAGGCAATCTATTTTTATATGTATGTATATGTGCTGGCTTGAAAACAATAAAACGAGGAAAGAAATTCATTCAGATTTTCAGGGCACATCAATCAAGTGTTGAAGCTGCTCTGCGCCACGATTTCAAACGGGATTGATGTTTCAAACATGATTTTTATTATGTATCTATAAAAAAAAAACAAAGGAATAGAAACGAGAAATATGCAAGTATCCCTTGGCATTTTTTCTCGAAGTTTCACACCAGCAGTTTAATGTTTTAAAGCTTATAAATTCATAATATGAGTCAAAGAGATATCTTATACCTTTTATGATCACTTGAAGGTCATGTAGTATTTATTATCATAATAACACGGCATTCATATCATTTACTTTGCTCAAACTTGTAAGCCGAACCACGGCCCACTGTGCGCCATTGGAGACAAACATGGGGCGGCACACGACCAAAGCCAGAGCCGGGATAGCCATGTCCTGGTGCTGCCACTTTTTCGTATTTTGGTCAGGTCACATTCATGTTGTATACATTAATTATGGCTATTTACTCTGGACTGGCCGTTTCAGCGCTGGCCACTGTCAATTATGTGCACGAAATTGCTTATTATTGGATGCATAAACACACGCACACGCACCCGCACACGAGTGTATATTTGTACACACAAAAAGTATACGAATGAGTGTGAGTACGCGTATAGTCGGCCAGAAGCAGCAGGTTAAATGGCCGCATTTATTCCACGCCTAAAAGCACCGCCAACAACGCTGGGAACGGAAACAACGTTTTGGTAAACAAAAATACATCTTGTTTACACAGCGAGCAGTCCTACGAACAACCAACCAGAGGTTGTTGCTTTTATACCCTGGACTAAAGGCATTACAAATTGCGTGAAATGTTTGCAACGAACAGAAAATGGCAGCTGCGACACCACAACGATTATATATACTCCTAATGAATCCTGACTGAGATAACCATTATATGAAACTATAAAAACTACACAAAATCCCTGTAAGAACTATAGGTTTTTACTGTTATAAGGGTATATAAAATT